GATTAAAAGGCCTCAGGCCAGCCTTTCTGATGCTGAGATAAAGAGAAAGTAGAACTCTCTTGCCTGAGTCTTATGCAGAAGGGAGTCATGTTGGGTTGCTGAGGATTCCATGGCTTGGGATACTGAGGATGGTGACAGCAAGAGGCCCTGTCTCAGGGTGAGAGAGTGAGGTGAATGGCTGTGTGTGCTGTTTTTAATAATACTATCCAGAGAAATACTCATGGTCGTCCGTTGCAGCAAAAACAACTAGGGGTACAGTCCAGTGAAGATTACAGGCATCCTTGCCAGGGTGGCAGCAACAGATGGGCATGTTGCTCCTGCTGTCCTGCAGAGTAATTAAGATTTTGGCCATCCAACTGTGATGCTTTAGAGCAGCAGGGAGGGAGGCTCAGGGACCCCCAAGATGCATCGTATCTTCCTCTCCCCATCTTTTGGCACGTCCCTTAAATTCCTTCTCCAAGGTCACGTTTGTAACCTCAGGCAAGCACCAAGCATGCCTCTTTCTGCACCATCTGTGCACTTGGAGGGTGGAGCCCCAGCTTCTGCATCAGTACTTCTTTTCTGATGTTTGAGCTGGCACTCCAAAACGTCTTACAGCCCTCTAGGCACTCTCCAGGGGCCCTAGGATCACTCTGACCGAGTCTGCTGTTACTTTATATGCTAACGCATTTATTGTGTATTATTGCACATTATCCCTTGTTGGTGGGTGCACACAGACACAGAACCGCAGTGCATGTTCACAGTAACAACCATGGGTGTTAACACAAGCTAGCACTAGGAAGTGATAATTTAATCCCAGTCTTCTGATGGCAAACGAGATTAGTGGGGCCTTGCCTATTTCCCTTTGCATCATCAAAGCAAAAGTTCAGAGTTGCACAGGAGAAGCACCTACACTTTCTGCCCTTGATTTGACACACAGCATTCAGTACCAGCCCTGTAATAAAAAGCAATGGTGCCAGATAGTGTTCAAACGAATCCGTATGGTACAATTGCAACAACGTGAGCTCTGCAGCCCTCACGCACAGTTCCATAATGATGCTTTTAAAAATGGCAGGCACGACCTTGGCAAAAGGCCTACGTATGGCAAAGCAACTCTGCTAAGGGAAGTTTTTTTGTTGTTGTTAACAGTGTGGTCAGTGAATAGTAAGCCTGGTACCCAACTCTGCAGAAGACTTTGTGGGAAAGTCTGTCTGTTTGAGGCATTCTCTATTGGATGGGCTGCCCAGTCCATGTCAGGCTGAAAGACAAAGAATCATAGGACACGAGACCAGGAGACTTAAATTGCCCATCAAGTCAGTAACTGGTCAGCCAACTGACCAGGCGCACAGATTACCTGGGCACAATCTTCTTTTTGGTGAGCCATATTGTACTTCCATTTTGATGACTGAGGCTACTTGGACATGCACATCTATCCCTATAAAAGAGCCTGTTTGGCTTTTGTGCAATCTGGCATCCTTTCTTTTGCAATGTTTAACTGGCACAGAAGCTGGGACTCTAAAGAAGATGGTCATATTCCCCACTTTTGCATGCCACGTCTTGGAGACATGAATGAGGAGGGAACTATTCCCTCCATTGTCACTCTTGTCATGTTGCAGATGCAGAGGGTGACTTTGTGAAGAGAGTTCCCTCTGTCAGAGGGGGCACCCCTGATGACTGAAAAGGCTGGATTAGATCTTCAGAAATTGGCAGATTCTTACAATTCTCCCCTTATTGTAATGAAGTACTGCACTTCAACACCCAACTTTCCAACACATCAGTTTATATGGACAAAAATGAAGATTAGAATGCACTCCAAGCAGGCAGCAAAAGAGGGCAAAACGCATCTTGCCAGTTTCCTGAAAGACAAAGAATAAATTAAGTCAGCTAAACTTGGAATTATGCTACTGGCCACAGTGTCTTTACTGGACAAGGAGACCAGAGGGTGGGGGTGGGAACTGCTCCTAACCACAAATAAACCAAGAACTGAATAAATGGATAGCAGGTGAGAATTATGATTTTATGGTTAACAGCCTGCCCAACACATCTGTTGCTTTTTTGAATGTTTCTTTTGAAGTATTTAATTAAAAAAATAATGGTTTGGCATTAAAATTTGTTAACATGTCCCCTTTTATTTTTAAAATGACCCTCATATAGTCTCACTTAGGCTAGTTTTTTTTTCTTTCAAAATCAAACTTGTTTAAACCAAGAATTTTTATTTTAAAACCCTTCAGAAGTAGCCATATGCAGAAAAAAATATACTCCAAGTTTTTGATATAGTGGGAATTTGTGTAATTGCACAAACTAAGTAGATGAACTTCCACGCATGTGACACTAGCAGTGGTCCAAAACCTTATAATGTAATGAAAAAATGGGATAATGGAGAAACAGCAGCACAAACTGCCAAAACCAGTTAAAACCAAAACCAAAACATATTGGAGTAAATGGATTTTAGCCTAAATTGCAAGCACACTCAACAGATTGCATCATCAGAGACAACAGACTACAAATGTGGCACATTTTACACACACAGAGTGAGAGTAAAACTCCAGATAATTTGGCACAATGAACCTCCCAGAAAACGTGCTTTTTCAGCCAGTAATCTGCACCTCGTGAAAACCTGTATGGTAATTAGTAAATACTTGTATCAGCAAAACATGTTAGTTGGCCTAGTTACTAATTAGGCAACAGAATATAGATATTCAAATATGCTAGATGTTTTTATCTTCTAAAAATAAGCTTCTCAGCCATTAATAATTTGAATCCATGCACAGAGATTGGTGTGTATGTTAAAAACCCATGTTTAAATGTGATAATATCAGTTACTCCCTGTCTGGCTGTTTTTATATGATTATTAGCTGCAGCATTCACTCATGTTCATACTGGCAGAGCTCAGCCTTTTCATTCCCCCAAATCCACCTGTGTTGTTTTGCTGCTTTGGGGCTGTACACCAGGAATGGGCAAAAGGCAGATATTCTGATATTTTGGGCTCCAACCCCATAAGGCTAACATGGCCAATGATCAGAAATGCTGGGAATGAGGTACAAAAGATACAGAGATTTGTTCTTTGCTTACCCTATTGCAGAAAACAGAAAAGGCCATTGGTTTCCCAATATACCATAAACATGGAAGAAAGGAATAAATAGCTTCATTTCGTTTATCTCTCTTTTGATTAGCACTGTTGTACACAATAGCACTGTGTTACAAAAAGAAAATCACACAATTCAAGTTGCAATTGCATACACACTTATATAGCAGTAAATTCCATTGGACAAAGTTAACATGCATAGGATAGTCGGATACAATAAAATGGTTTTGTGTGGAGTTTGCTTCAGTGAAAATGTACTCTTCTTGCCTTGCGATTTTCCCCCTGAAAGATTCAAACATTTTTCATGTTCCTAACATCATGGAACTTTCTGCATTCAGTGAGAGAAAAGTGAGCTTAATTTTCAGCCACACCCAGTTAATAACATTTAACATAACTGTCTAACATAATTTGAGGTGATGCAATTATATGAAAGAATAATTATTACCCTGCCATTTATGTTATTTTCTAACATTGTCATTGCTTCTTTCTCATTTTTAAAGAGGTTTCTCTTTTACAGTGCTGCTTAGTACATGGAGAGAAACTGTCAGACCAGCCGATTTGTTTCTATGTGGATTTTTCAATAATCGGTTTATATACAGATGTGTAATAGGAGTTACTATGTATTTACATAAGCATGAAGTTACTCTACTGAGGGATTGTCATATTAGTCTGTTACAGCAAAAACAAAAACAAAAGATCGGCGTTGCACTTTGAAAACTGCAGTTTTATACATATGTCCTCAGAGAGTAAGTCTATTTAACTCAGGGTTACAGCCCAGCAAATTTATTTTTGCATAAACTTTCATGGTTCAGTCAGTTTTATCAGATATACAAAATGTTGTTCTCAGCAGGCATAACATGCACTGGGGGAAAATGGCAACAGGAGAGTTGCAATGAAATTCACAAAGAGGTTTGACAGTTAAATTAAAGCAGTTAATTAAAATGTATGGAAAATAAGAACAATGCCCCTGACACCCTACATATGCACATTTTCTTATCGTTTGTCTGCTTGCCTGCCTATTGAGCACAAGGCTGAATGCATTTGATGAGACAATCCATAAAATGTATGCTATAATACCTTTGCTAACCTTGAAGGTGCTATAGAGGCACTGTTTCTGGTCTATTAGTTTTAGACCGCACTCTTATAACTCTGGCCCAGGTTGTAGGACTCACTACATATCAGAAAATGCTTAACGTAGGGAAGTCAGCCATAAATCCCACATTGAGTGGGAAGGGCTAAGCAAATTTCTGCAACAGCAAGTAACTGAATACATCGGCTTCTCCACCTTGTGCTCCAGGCTATAGAAGCAAAAGAACTGCCCAGTGTGCTTAAGTGTGCGAAGATAAATCTTAACATGTGGCTTTCAGCTAGATCAACTTAGAAAAGGGATAATCTTGCATGGAGACCAGGACTTACTTCCTAGTAAGACGAGTTACAGCATCATCTTCACGATTTGGGGAGACTATTTGCAAGTTCTTGCCTTGAAATAGGTTTGAGCTGAACTTTGGAATGACAAGCGTCTTAGGAAAGCTGCTAGGCGGAGAAACTTCACATGTTCCCCGCTCCTCAATCATTCTAGTGCCAATTCCATCTGTCTAATATTAAGATTTGTGCTTTTTCTAGCTTAACATGCGCAGGATTTGTTTCTGAAGCCAGAAACCCAACCCTTGGGAAAAAGCCCGGGGGCTTCTGAGGAGGCCACCCACGTCCAGTAATGCAACGCCATGGCTATAGCGGCGCCCTTAAGAAGGCTCCCTTTACGTCCATACGTCACTAGGGCTGAACCTAGCACAGCCCCTCGTCGCCGCTAGGCGGTTTCTGCCCCGCCCTCGCTCGCTCCCGACCCCGCCCCTTCCCGCCGCGCAGGCGCAGAGCGGAGCCCGCGGGAAGAGGCCGGCGCTTGGTCGTTTCGCTGCGGAGGTAACGGCGGACGGGAGTGAGCAGGACGGCGCTCTGGACTGGTCGAGTTGTGGCTCTGGCCGGCTCCCCGAGAAGGCGCTCCAGTCCCGCCACCACCGGCGTTGGGATTTGTGGTGTTATGGTTAATAGGGCTGGCAAAACAGCGTAGGAGGAATCGCAGCGGTTGGACGGTGTATCCACTCCAGCGAAAACATTGGTCAGATTAGGAAAGCTTGACTAAATTACAGGAGGCAGCTGTTCTCCTTCAGCGGGCGGGAATTCAACGGCTGCCTTTATATAGCGGGAGTGGGCAACTTTCCACATCATTCCTCGCTGTTGTCTCTACCGGTTGGATCTGATGAGAAACCCTAATCCAACAGTACCTAGAAGATGAAAAATGTTCTGCTTATCCTTCAGCTGTCGTTATGTAGCTGTGCTAGTATGGTTCCCCCCAGGTGTTCACTATGCCCACCAGAAAAGCATTTAGTGACCATTAGTATTGCTCTTGTCTTTTCATCCTATTGAGGACTGTATTCCTTTTTGTAAACTATCATGGGACTTTTACTGAATCATGGTATAGAAAAATTTTAAATACATACATTCGTATCAGCCATGTTGTGAATCCTCTCCCAGGCCGTTGGCTATGCTGCCTGGCTGATGTGGCCAAAACATTTGGAGAACAAGTTGTGGGATGACTGAAATAGGTTGACTCCCCCTTGAGGTGTTTCTTGTACATATGCCTGATTATCAAAGTGACAGACCCTAGCTCCAGCAACACAATCCACAAGGATGTTTTATCTAAAACTAATAATACGAATGGTTTTTCACTTGCAATTTATAAATAGGGCTATACATTATGTTTGCATGCAGTAAGTTGTAAAACTAGTGTGTATTACACACAGTTTGCAATACCAGCTTGCATTTTTGGTAAGGGTAGTCAAATTTGCTAGCTATTATGTCTCAAATTGCTTATGAGGTCTGTCAACACCTGACTTCCCAATTTTGGTCAAGAGGTAGGCTGTCTGGAGCTCTAAACAGAGCATATGAAAATATTAGTCAAATAGAGGCTGTCTGGTTAAAAGATTCTCATTTTCTAATTCCAGCAAATTAGTCCATTCTCAAAATGGAAATACCTGTAAACAAATCTGCCTCATTATGCTCCACTCCAGAGAACTGTGAGATGTCTACTAAAAGCAGTAGCAGCTCATCAGGAAAACAGGTGTGTAGCTCATGCCTATTGCTACTCATTTTAGCTGTTTCTACACTGAGACTTTGTAAAATTACCTAACCCTTGTAGAGATCAACAAATATTGTAAAAAAAGATTAGCAACTGTTAGTTTTGGCCCAGAACTTTTCCCCAGTGAAGAAAGGATCTGGCTTCCTAGTATGTATGAAAAATAAATCACATTTGTGGTGAGGGGCCTTACCTATATAAATGTCTATATTCTGAATTTGGATAGACAACATTTTAAATATGTTTCATGTCAGCAGATAAGTTGCTTTATTGCTCCAATGAACACGATCTGTTTATTATGAAAAATAGCTGCGGGAATCCTTTAATGTTACCTTGTTGTTTTGATTATAGCAAATGAGTGCAAGTCTTCGAGAACGCTTAAAGAAAGCAAGACGGTCCTTTAATCCAATTTTTATGGTACCAAAGCGTCTCAAAATAGAGGAAGACAATAGCTCCAGTGATTGTGAACACAGGACTTTGCCTAAAGGAGAACCATATTCCACATTACAAGATGAGGGGAAACACTTGGAAAAAGTTAGTGATGGAACCATGTGTTTGAATAGTGCTATACCTGAGAAAGAGCCCTGTACATTTGAATATAGTGAATGTAATAAAACAACACAGAATTCTTCAGAAATGTTGTTAGAAACAGATTGCAGGCAAAGGAAACTATTGGAGGAAAAAATGACTTTAGTAAAGCAGATTCAGGAAAAGGAAGATCTTCTTCGAAGACTTAAACTAGTAAAGATGTACAGATCAAAGGTAAGAAAACACAACACTGAAATTCTCATTTTTGAATTAAGTGTGTTATAAAGAAATGTTTTGTTGGGATGTTTACTAAGATATTTTTAGAGACAAGAAAATGCTGCAGGGTACAATTCTCCTTGCTGTATCGCCCTTATACTACAGCTGAGTGAAGTACCACATCATCCAAAGTACTAGTCCTGTTTGGCAGTGTGAAGCACAGCCCAAAATAGAGGGCAGATCCCAGTCATGGAAACTAGGCACCAGTCCCCCCACAAACATGGTATCTGGGTCCATTTCTTAAAAATAACTGAAGTACTATCTGCTGTCTATATGTAGTTGTAAAATAACTGAATTATTTGAAAATGTTGCACTTGTGTGTTCTTTCGCCCCTTCCTTGTGATCTTTTACATTAAAAATCTATATAGATTGATGGTTCCATGTAAATAGGAAATAGTTTTTCAAACAATTGCTGCCAAAGTTAGGTAATGGCCAGTTCCTACCAATACTGAATATCAAAGTAAGACTTTTTTTACATTCAATGATAAGTAAATCCCAATTACTATCTAAATATTCTAATAATATTTATCTTAAGAGATGTTAGGTGCGTGATGTTTTCAAATACAAGTGCATTGCAAACTTGGTGTAGGCAGAACAGGAACTACTGAAAACTACAATGGATTTTTTTGGGTGCTAGATAAATCATTGGATTTTCTGTTTTCTACAAGTGCCCGTGACTTGCATATATGTCACATATTTTAGCTGTATTACACACACCTCTAGTTTTTCTGTCTTTTCTCTTCCAGAATAACCCAACAGAGTTGCAGTCCCTGATATCAAAATGGCGAAGAAGTTCCCAAGCATTGCTGTATGAGCTACAATCAGCCTTATCCACAGATAACAAAAAATTACGCCTTACTCAACTGATAGATAATTTTGGACTAGATGACAAACTTTTACATTATATTAGAACAGAAGAAGACTTTACAGATGCATGATACAAGTGTTTTAAAAACACATCTGGCTTTTGAACTGCATCATCAGTCTGTAAAAACCATGTAATTCTTGCGGGAAAAAAATAATTTAGGGGTGGAAATAACCCTTTTGCTGACTTGTATGGCAAAATTGTTCTTTAAAATAATGGAAAAGGACAGTGGGCTACATTGTTTTGCATTTCCTGGTGTTTGTGGTAACTAGGTCTGTGTGGATCCCTACAGGTTGTAACAAATGAAACTGCTTTTGCTTTTAGTCTATGAATATGCAAATTTTATTCTTCTAATAAAGGAATTAATCTTTGAACCAGTAAATCTTAAGCATACAGGTATAAGATTGATGTAGTTCCAGATGTACTTTTCCTTTCCTGTACACACACATTTAAAACACACATCTGAAAGTACATGTAGATACTATATAATTCAACATTTTATGGGTTAATACAACTTTCTGTTCTGCTCAACTTTTGATAGATGGGAATGGCTAATATGGATTCAACTGTTTAAGGCAAATATCATTCCTAAAATAATTATTCACAAAACCTTATTATGCAATGACACTGACTCAGTATGTTTAGGATTGAGCATACCATATGCTGCCCAAGAGAATGATCCCAGAAAGAGGGAACATCAGAAGATGAGATGTCGCCTATTGTATAACATCAAGTTCATTTTTCATTCCACTACCTATTTAAGTCCTTTTCTGTCTTGTCATCAGCCAGTCCCAGAAAACTATTTCTGTTCCTGAGGTCTCTGTGATATTTTAGTTCCAGTTGGCATCTTTGTTCCTTGGAGCTTGAATATTCCAGCTCAAAAGATTTCACCATGACAAGCACAATGTATTACACTCCTAAATTCATTGCATTGTAAAATATGTAGTGAATAATAGTTTTCTGGGGGTCAGAATGGGTTATAAAGCCACATCTATCAAGCTACCTTAGTGTAGTAAAGTATTTTGATTTAAAAGGGAAAGAAAATCCCCATTGTCTTGTAGACTCTTTAACTCCACAAGAATGTGTATTTCTTCTAGTTATGACAGCATCACATTGTTAAAACTCCTGTACATCGAAGAAAGCAGGGAATGTTCTCATTCTCAGCCTCTCCACTTCAGCTTGAAGAATGGTCAACTCCTGGGCCTGTGCTTTTGCAAGATCCACAAGCTGCTGTCGTTGCAAAATATCCTCATAGTGCTCTTTAGCCATCTTTTGATTAAGCAGCTCTGAATCTGTTGAAAAAAGTCTAGATTGTATCACATTATATTGGATTGCAGTTTGCAAGCCCCCACCCCCTGCCTCTTACAATGTTCTTTCCGGTGTTACCAAGAGCATTATGGGAATAGCTGTGTTACAACAGTAGCCATGTTGCTATTAGTCATATGAATTATTGATACCATGCAAATTATCGTACAGGTGAATAAAATACTTAGTATCCTGATTGGTTTTTCTACCCACTTTGATGAATGTCTTCATTGACTGGTGCAGTAATCAATAATAATCTGCCACTACGTCGCTCGTGGAATTGGCAATGGAAACTAAAGATAACTACAGAATTAAAAGTAAGATATATGTACCCAGTTGTTCAGTGTTACTGCAATCAGTAGTAGGCATAAAGTAACTGCTGGTTCCCGTATTACTTTTCTTGATACTAAGATGGTGCGGAAAGCATACTTAACTATGTATGATGGTGTGAGCATAACTGGCAGTGCAAGAAACTAATCTTTGTGTTATAAAATAACACAGAGAACTAATCTTTGTGTTATAAAATATGAAAGGACCAGTGATACGACTTACCAGTGGCGTCATGTATGTGTCGTCTTTCTGACACAGCAACAAGCATTTCTTGTAATTCCTTACTGAGCTTCTGGTTTGCGAGGTCTTTCAGACTTATCTGCTTTTCCAACTCTTTGATGACTTTTTCCCGCTGTTGCATATTTTTCTTATGAACCTGGCCATTGCAGAATAACATAAATAATGACTTGCTGGAAAAGTGTTGAGTGAAAAGTTGCTAAAGCAAGTTTTATTTTCTAGGTATGGTTGCTTTCATTAGGTTTTGCTGTTTCAGGTAATTTTTTTTGCAGAGTTTCTTTCCTATAAAAATTGTCATAAAGTGTTTAATAGCATTCAGAGAAAAAGTTTTATAGTCTGTAGAGAGAAGTTAAAGATTCTTTAAAAGGTGAAGGTTCTGATGAGTGCTGAATTCATTATTTTAATCCCCTTTTACTGCTTTCCCCTCAGATGAGAGTTCAATATAAATTACATTAATAAATCAAATGAAACAGCAACAATAATGCTATCATTAAAGCGCAAGTCAAATAGTAATAGCTTGAAAATAAAATTAAATGAAACCCATAAAAACTTGTCTGCTTTCTGAATTTTCAAATTCAAGATGGAAAGCCAAGGGTGCAAAACATGGAGAAGTGAAAGAATACATCTAGGGGAAGATGAGAAAACCGAATTCAGGATCATCCATACTTAGAATAAAAAAGGTAACGGTTTCCCCATGACATTAAAGTCCAGTCATGTCTGACGCTTGGGGATGGTGCTCATCTCTCTTTCCTAGCCGAGGGAGACAGCGTTCATCCGCAGACAGTTTCCATGGTCATGTGGCCAGCATGGCTAAACACTGAGGTGCACAGAACACTGTTACCTTCCCACCAAAGTGGTACCTATTTACTTGCATTCATATGCTTTTGAACAGCAAGGTTGGCAGGAGCTGGGACAAAACATGGGAGCTCACCCCGTCCTGCGGATTTGAACTTCGACCCTTCAATCAACCAGCCCAGCAGCTCAGCAGTTTAAACCACTGCGCCACCCACAGTCCCTTATACTTAGAATGGACTCACTGAAATCAGTGAGATTTAAGGTAAGGGTGCAGTGCTATGCATGTTTAGGTAGGAAAAAATCCTATTACTCTCAGCAGTTCCCTTTCTGTCTAAACATCTATAAAGTTGCCTATTGACTTGATTTCAGTGAACAGTTTGAAATAGAACTATTCAACCCTGAATTTTGTTATTAAAAATATGTATATGCTAGTTTTCCACTGAAGCCCTCCCAAGGTGGTTTATGAAAAATAATTTTGTTTCACAGAATAGAATACATTTCGTTACATATATACATAGCAGAACAGTATGCTTCTCAATGATTTATTGTACAATTTATTTAGATTTTCAGGGAGCTCAATGATCTTCCATCTACCCACCCTGTCTCTTATCAATCTCCTCCTTATATAGCACAGCCTCTCCTAGCTATTCCTTCTCTTCATCTCCCTCATTAGTCTGCACAATGCCTCACGTCTGTGGAACTCTGTTCTAATGATGAAAATGTTTTGGAATGTCAGCAGCACTCTCTTTGAGGTATGGTTTAGGCCAGGAGTGGGCAAGCTGAGATGCCAGATGTTTTGGTCTACAACTCCCATCATCCCTCTCTGTTGGTCAAACATTGGCAGGGCTGCAAGTTGTCCATTCATGGCTAAGCTCTCTTGAATTTCTGTTGTCCAAAGCCCTTCACATCTGCCTGACAGGGAACTCTAGGAGGCATATCCACCACCTTGAGTCGCTTTGAGGAAAGACAGGACATAAATGTAAATAAAGTCAATATAAAGGAAGGTATTCTGCTTCTGTTTCCTTTGATAGTTTCAGCAATGGTGGTTGGTGGCAGGGATGTGGGCATGGGTGGTTTCCCAGTTGTATTCAGGTGTGAAATATTACAGTTTAATTTGTAATAAGTATGGTCAGAACTGAAGATTATTAATCCAAACCTGCATGTGCTTTTTGAAGGAGAAACGAAAGTTGTCAATATTGTGATAAAACAATGGAGAACAAAGCTGATTAGATTTATGTAATAATGACATCAACCAAAATCTATACTGGAAGGAAGTCATGCCAAGACTAAAGATAGCGAGGGCATTCTGAGCTAAGACAGGAGTACTGAAAGGATGCTCCACACATTTGTTCAGTTATATCCCCCAAGGACATTTACCTTGTCTAGAAAATTCAGTGTTCCTTCCATTATTGAGACCTCGTGATTGATTCGGCTATCATAATTTATTACTGATAAGAACTGTGGAATTAAAAGCAGAGAAACAAAATAAAGCTAATAGCTGATACTTCTAGATCCTAAACTGTGGAGTTGGCAGGTACAAATGGAAACCTGCTGCATAACCTTGCATGGTGCATTGGGATTGCATTCACATAGCATATCATGTTGGCTACATCTTAGGGCAGTTCAAGATTTTCTGACTTTTTATCCTATAAATACATTAATGAACTGTTTATTAAAGTTACAGACAATGAATTTGCATGTTTCATGCATTTCAATGTGTGAAAGGAAATTATTTTCTTAGACACAGTGCTGTGCAATTTGATAATTTGGTAAAGTCAGCATGTGGGATAGCAACTTACAATTTGGTGATCTTTTGTAACATTCAGTTTTTGAATATCTCGAGCCTTTTGATTCAGATCCTCCACCTGCATCTGCATTTTTTTATGTTCCCATTCCAGTTGAAAGATTCCTTTACGGAAGTCTTTGCTTTCCACCATGCTAGCAACTTTCCTTTCTCCTTGAGCCTAGCAAGAGAAGTATCAATTCAACATATAGTTTTACAAATTATCTCTGAAAGAAGGTGGACCAGATGTCAAAAAATTAAGAAGTAATGAGAGAAATTTGGGAAATTGTAACTTCTTTTACCGAAAGTGCTTTGCTTATTCATTTATTGAATATGTGGGCCTTATATACAGTTACGGCTACTTTCCTATTCATAGAAACCCAATGAGAAAAAGAAAAATGAACATAAGTCTAATTTGGAAGCTAGGGCTACAGCTATGCCAATTACCATCTCAGGTCTGAAGAAATGGGGAGAGCAATCCTACCCCCATGAAGAGGGCCACAGGATACTTTCAGTCATTGATCAGAAACATAACTGGGGAACCATACTCTGCCACTTGTAGCTGGCACAGAAAGAACCATGCTGGGTGCCTCTTCAAGGCTGGAAAATTGACCTGGAAAGGGGTTGAAGGTAGCATTTGGAGGTGGGAGAGTGAGGATATTGGGGTCACCAGAATATGAGGTATTCAGATGGTGCTCTAGCCTCCTGCCCTCCCAAATGAACTAAAATGCAAAGTGAGAGGAGCAGGAGGGTACCAATCACCGTCAATCCTCAATCTTCCCCCTCTGCCGTGGATGCTAATAAGCTTCTGAAATGGGGTTTTAGAAACTTCAAGGGCACAAAATCAGGTATGGCAGATCTTCAGTGGTTTGTTTGTTTTGTTCTGAAAACTAGTTACCCGAATGACACTGTTCAGTTCTTCAATAATACTCCGGTTGATGAGAATAGCATCTGTGTAATCTGGTATTAAGTTGGTACCTTCTAGCTCCACTTGCCCTTGCTTAAAGAGAAACTGAACCATCAAATCTAACTGGAATCTCATCTTCTCCTCTCGAAGCCTACAATCAGAAAACAAGAATTATTTTTAGTAATGGATAAACTTTTTAAATTCCTGCATGACAAGCAAGGAGATAAAGAATACTAGTGGAGGTGATTGTAGAGGGTTTTCAATTCTTACAAATAACTTTTGAAACCTTTTGCTGAGCAAGCGGGATACATTTTTCTTATTCTAAGCCAATCACGCTACTGGGGATGTATTTGGAATACTCAAACAGTGGAGCAAATTTTGGTTTGATGGGCTGTGCATTATGTATGGCAAAGATATCCTGTGGATAAAGAACAGGGACTCTAAACCCAATGTGAAGTTTGAGTGCCCTATGAACTGTGGATATCTGTAGTGCAGCTTTATTTTGCTAATGCCATAATACTACAATACCACTATATTAAAAAACAAACTTACAGATTGAGCTCAGTAAAAACATGCTCAATGTCTTTCCGTAGCTGCTCATCATCTTCAGTCCTCTTCTGAAGGAAGGTCTGCATCTCTGCTAGTGTCAGTGCTTTTTGCTTTATCTAAACAAATAGGATAGCTTTTTCAAAACATGTTCACTTGCAAATGTTGCAATTCAACTTTTTTCTGCAGTAAAATTTATGACCTCGTTTCTTTAGCAATACTGCATGTTTCTTGCACATCTTTGAATGTTTGTCAACACCATAGGAAGCTTTCAGACGTTACATAAGCAGGGCATGCTAATTAATTGTTTTAATTTTATCTATCTAGTTATGGAAGCTGTTCAATTATGTTAGTGTGGTAGCAATGAACTAGTGGTTTGATGCATATACCTCTGAATAGTAACTTTTAAAAACTATTTAAAGTCCTAAAAGGTTGCTTAGTGACCAACTTGTCTAGTGGATCACACAGTGTGTATACATTTCTTACCAGGTTAGTATTCAGTTCTCAGAATACATTTTCAAATATGCAAATACTTGTTTAAAGGAAAGTGGAAATCACTTGACATACCTGTTGCTCACTTTCTACTTTGATTCGTCTAGCTGCACAGAAACGTTCCCAGCTGACAAGGTCAAGACCCTCAGGTCGGTTTTCAGGCTCATCCATTTCGTCAATGCTTTTCATTAAATGGGTCAGAGCATCCTGCTGAGCTTTGGCGGAGCCTGGACGATCACCATAGGGGTTAGTGGCATCAGCATGTATCTTTGTCTTGAGAGCCCTTTCATTGTGAACCACAACAAACATGGTTTATGTATTTCTGCTGCTTGTTACACATGCATTAGGACAAGGTCTAATGTTCTTAGGCCTGCACATATTGGAATCACTCTCCATTTCTATTTATTTTGTGCTGTCCTTACGTATGTATGTCAACAGTTACCATCTGTCTTATTCATACACTTGCTTTACTTTTCTTGTTACATCTATGAGCAACAACCAGTAGGAAAGTCCACATTCCTACCTAGTTCTGTCTCTGGTCCTTTTGAAGACCACCTTGAAGTCCTCAGCCCTCACTATTTATTTATTAGATTTATAACCCACTGGTTTCTTACAGTAAGCTCAAAACAGCTTACATCTTTCTGTTCCTGTTGCACCACCACCAACAACTAAACTAACCTGTGTTGGGCTAAGAGTTTATGTCTGGCTTACAGTCCTTGAGTCCCAGTCTTGCACTCTTAACCACTATACCACGCAGCTCTGGTAGCACCGCACTACCATCCAGTGAACCCTTAGGGCTACAACCATAACACTTCAGTGTTCTGTGCAGGATCTAACAGGTCATCAGCACCGTATACAAACATAGGAACCTATTGGATCATATAGAAGCGTTGCTAGTCCAACAGTAGCTACTGTTTCTAGACTATCTAGTCTGACAGTCTGTTTTCAGCAATCATCAGATAGAACAGCAAAAGCACTGATGTGCGAAGTCGTCTTTCTCATTCTCTGTATGGCTGACAGCTGTTTTGTTTATTACTTTTGGTTGCTTTGTTCACTTAGGGTATCTGCTAACAAAGGTGATGCAAGTTCACCATATTCTGTGCTCCACAATCTTTTATGAACAAGAATGTTTATTTCACTGCCTCAGACTTCACAGAAATGGGTGTGGCTGGTTTTATGAATTCTTAGCTCATACATTATAATAGGCATGCATGTACATTAGCCCAGTGACTAAATAAGGTTGCTCAAAGCAAAGCATGATCTGGCTCTGATGGGCTGAAAAGTTAAACATGTTTAGAAATGCCCTGAGCTTTGATGGGAAGTGAGGTAAACAGGTCTTGAACCTAGGTTTTGTCTGGGTAATCACTCTTGGGAATGCTAGCATTTCCTGGTCTCCACATATGCTTGCTGCAGAAGGAAATAGCTAGCCATGCCTGCACTTTATACAACTCTGGGGATGATGATTATTTTGACAATGAGTTTTAATTTCCATTTAAACCAGAGCCAGGGAACCCCTTTCAGCTGGAGAGATGAATTTAATTCTGAGAAAGGTATTGGGCTGCATTCCATCTGTGGGTGAGCCCAAAGGCAAAGAGGGTGCGGCCAAAATGTACCTTATTTTCAGCCTGCGCAGAAATAGGCAGGACAAGATTTCTGTATACTCACCTCAGAAACAAACAGGAATGAATCACTTAGCAACACTTTCAAATAGCAGCCCAACTATCAAGCCTCTACTCATAAATGAGCAGAACAGCTTCTATAATCCTAAGTTAACAAGCTTCAGAAAGAAGCAGAACTGAATCAACTGCTAACTTCCTCCCCAGACAAAGCATCCTCCAATTCAGGGTGGTGAATTGGATTCTGATTATGAATCATAATTCTTATTATGACTGATCAGAAGCTGATCAGAGGGAAGAACTTTTCCCTATGAGCAGTGACAAAATACTCTTTTCGTACTGTGGAGTAGGGAAAAGCTCTTCAGTCAGTTGCTGATTAGAGAGAAAACCATTTCTTGTAGGAATAAAGGGTGAACTCTAGGGAAACAACTTGTAGGCCATCAGCCAGAACTTGGCCTTGAGCCAGAGTGTTCTCATTCCACATTTAATCTACTTATGTGGAGAAGAACAAAGATGCTTTGTAAGGCTAGTGGTACTGCAGAATTTCTATTTCTGTATCTATAAAATAAAATGAAATAAATATATATTTATATTTTCTGGCTTTTTATGTAAACCATCCTGAGATTTTATAATAATCAGATGGCATATACGAAATTTTAAATAAATAAATTTGCTGAGTATAATTTTTGATTTTTATTGCTTACAGTGTGCTTACTAGGTACCAATGGAACCCACTACCTAGGGAGCTTGTGGGCTGTCCCACACTAGAGCCATGCAAGATGCAACTGGAAAGCCATCCTGGAGGGAAGGTTTAACTGGGAGTCCTACAATGAGCAAGAGGTTGGACCCAATGGCCTTCTGGCCCCATCTAACTCTCTATCTATCTATCTATCTATCTATCTATCTATCTATCTCCTGCCTTTTTCCTACAAAGGGCTCAAGGCAGCTTACATCTCTTCCTCCATCTTATCCCCACAACAACCCTGTGAGGTAGGTTGGGCTGAGAGTCTATGACTGGCCCAAAGTCACCCAGTTGGCTCCATGGCTTAAATAAATGAATAAAACATACATACATACATACATACATACATAAACAAAGTGTCTCCAATTTTATTTTCTTGAAAATATTTGTGAATTGAGATGACTGCCATATTTTTTTCCAGTTTTACAGAGAAGTCTCCTGTACTCTCCCTGCAGATGTCCCCACCATGGCAGTAAATGCCCGCAGCCCTTCCAGACGGTAGGAAGCAGGGGCTGCGAAATCCGTGAGCCGGACCTCGATCCTCAGCGCCGGAGAGAGGACAAGTGGAGGCCAACGTGGAGAGCCCCCAAGTGGACATTTTGTGGCAGTGCCCACAAGCAGCTCCTCAAAGCGGCAGAGGTGCCCAGGGAGTCGGGAAGGCCAGCGATGCTCGGCTGGCACTGTGGGGGCAGGGGGGCTCCTTTTCTACCGCCCCTCCCGCCTGGGCTTTGAAATCCAGGCATGGGTGCTTGTGCGGTGCTGGGAGGAAAGCCGGGCGGGGTGGAGGTTGGAGGCTCCGGCAGACTGAGCACCCTGATCGGGAAGTGGGGGGGAGACCCATCCTCCATGCCCTCCCCTCCTCTCCTCTTCATGGAGGTGCCCCAAACTGCAATCCGCAGGAAATTCCGTGCACGAGGTGTGATGGGGGGCCCCCTCTGCTGCCCACTCTGCACCATGTCTTGGGTGCAAGTTCAGAGGCCAACGTGCAACCAGCTCAGCAGGCCTGGGATCGTGCCCAAACAATCTTGCAGTGGGGAGGGGAAGTGGCGAGCTCTTTTCAGAGGAGGGGCCTCAGCATATCATGCTGGTACACAGATCCATGTGGTTGAAAGGGGTGTGGGTGCAATTCCACTAGTTTGCTCAGGCGTCTGGATCAACAGCAGAGTTCCAAGGAACCACCAATATAATCATTACGTGGGAGAAAGCCAAGCTAAACAAGGGAGCTTGTCATTTGTGCATTTAGCAATACAGGAAACTCTTCTATCGTTAGTGGCTATGAAGGAAGAATGCAGGTGTATTGAGTCAGGCTTCCAAATCTTGCTTCCGTCCTACAGAATGTTTGCTTCATTGATCTGTGGATCTAATCTCTATGCTGGGAATCCACGCAGCGTAGCATTTTGTGCTACGCTGAAAATACCTTTGGCAAAATTAGGGCTGCAGTCCTGGGTGACTTATTTAAGAATAAAGCCCACTGAACAAGCGGAACTGAATTCTGAGCCTTCGGATTGTGTTGTGAGGTCAAGCAGGTTGCAGGGAGAATAATAGCATGTTACTGAAGCTTGAAGCCGTGAATCACAGGCACGAACACAGACTATCAAAGGGACAGAGCATTGGAGATGCTGATCTATTGCAGACTGTCATGAATTGCTTGGACCAAGAAGGTGACAATGAGGAAGGGGGAAAGAGAATGTATCAAGACCAAGAAACATGAAACTCATAAACCTTAGAATATTTCAAGCCAAAACATAAACTTGCGGGGTGCCGATGTACAGGCACTGCTGAAAAGATGGACAGCTCCCTTCCCATACAGCTCAGCGAGCTCCTTCTGCAGGTCTCCCAAGCTGCAGTCCCTGACTTTGTTTTCGCTGTTCTTCGCGATGGTGGCCCAGGAATGCCGCCGGCCCTGATCCCGCACGCAGCAGGCCACGGACCAGATGTCTACTATTCTATGATTCTATAATGCCTATATCTAAAGAGTATTTTCTTTTCTTTTTTCCTGGTAAGGCATATTATACATAGATCAAACCCAGTCAAATGTGTGTGCATGCATGCGCGCATGCGCGCATGTGTGGCTCGCATTATGTACTTGAATAATGCTCAACAAACCATCCAGAAAAGGAAAATAGGGTCACCTGAGCCAGTTCATTGCTTGTTCACCAGTACGGAGGCAAGAAAAGAAAGATGGGGTGAAGTCATGGTGTTGATGGAAGGTGATGGACAGGCTTGGCCACACTGCCTTGTAACACCCAGGATTTTCCAAGTTCCAGTTCCAATATGGGCCATTTTAGTGCTTTAACTCAAAGTCTACAGAGGTTCCCAAGCTGGGACTTGTGCAGATTCCTCAACTGAGACGTATGATAAACCACACAGAATTGAGTATAATATGCAGTAGTTCAGGCAAGCATTGAAGTTAGTCACACCTTGGTCTCATTGAAATCAACAGGACAAGTTAGTCATGATTCACTTAAATCCCACTGATTTTAGTGGGACTAAAGCATGACTAAGTCTGTATCCAACCCTACATGTTTGACCAATGAATGTTAACCAATCATTTACAATAATGGTTCTTATATGGTTGTCCTGTCCTAGTTGCTGCTTAGCTGCAATGCTCCTAATCAGACTGTGTCAGCCGTAGAAAAGCATTTTATTTCCTAATGCAGAATGAACCAGAAAACAATAGGGACCACCAGTGGACTCTTACCTGGGTCGACGTTTGTAAAGTTTGAATAGTTGATCAATGTGATGAGTAGGAAAATCTGAAAATTCCTTTCTAAAGCCACGCTCCATTAGCTAACAGTGAGAAGGAAAGCATAACGCCATATTAAGCAGGAAAAAATATAAGAATACTAGCATGTGCCCATCCTGTCCTGACATGCAAGATGACCGATCTTCAGAAAACACCCACTGTAGGTTTATATAAAGAGTATAGAATGCAACTGCACAGCCACAACAGTATTCCATAGTATGGAAACAGGCTTTCTAACACAATATATAGTGTTATTAAAGAATTTGGAGATCTTTGGAAATCAGAATTTGTAAAATCAAGGCTGTCTTTACAATGTACCATAAAGCAAGACCAAGTAGTCACCCTCACATTGTCGTCACTGTAGAGCCTACCTTCTACCTCCATGTGTCAGTTAAAAAATATGGGTAGGTGCATAATTTTGACTTTTTATTACAGATGTATTCCACTCACCTCATATTCCACTTTTTAAAGGACAAGGTTTTTGCCCTGTGAAATACATTGGCGGTACTAAATAAATAATAACAATTCTCTTTATTGTATGCAATGAGGTGGTGGAAAAAATAATATCCTGTGAAAATACCACGTGGTCTCTAGCTATTTAAGTGGTAAATAGTTCCACCTTCCATTTACACAAAAAAACCTAACTGGTTAAAAATATTATGTTCACAGTGTAGTACTGAGACACTACTACCACTCCTAAAATATTCACTGTCTCCATATAGGAATAGAACATACTTAAGTGACTGATAATTTAGTTGAAATACTTGAAAATAAAAGTAGGATTGACAGAGACCAAACGCTTGAATTTGACACCTTCAACTGAACAGATATTTGGATCAGGTCCTTATGTTCTTACTTTGTCTTCAGCAATTAAAATGTCATAAGCTTCTCTGTAAGCTTCCACTTCTGCTCTGGATGCCTTTAGTGCTTCATTAGACAATGCCTGTACCAAAACAAGTGCATATAGTTGACAGCTTTTGTAAAGCATGAGGGCAAGTGAAATAAGTGAAAGATTCCACCATAATACAACTGGATGTAATGAGCAACTGATGCATAGAGTATATTCCTTTTTCCAGGAACTATTTAAGTTATTTCATGTCCTGAAGCTGTCACTCAAGATATCAAAACATTTTTTCTTCAAAATTGATGATAATCCAAGTTGTATGCTTCTACAGATAGAAAGCAGAAAGCCCTGGCATTCACTGCAACAGGGGTGTTTTATAGTGCCCACTATAAATCTGGGCACTGGAATGTGGGCATTCCAAATGAAAAGCAATTTTAGGAGGAAATTATTTGCAGCAGGGGGACAGTACTTTAATCCCAAATGGCAGGTTCCATAAGATGCAACTACTTTTTAAAATTTCATACATTATTCTTTTACCTTTTGCTTTCTTTTTTTATTAAGGTAGTGATAGAGCCCAGCTTCTCTTGTGCTAAGTTCTTCATCCAAAAGCAGTGAGTAAAGAAGATTAGTTATTTTGAGTTCTTCCTAGGAAAAGGTTTCACAAGAAAACAATCAGATGTATGTTTATAGGGAAGCAATGCTTATGAATAAACGTTTAAACTCACCTGGTACACAACCATTTCACATTTGACCTTTTTCTCAAAGAGCCTATTCACAATTTCATCAAATGACTGTGTAGTTTCCTGGATAGAGGCTTGAAGTTTTCTTAATTCAGTTTCCAGAATCTAAGGAAGAAAGGTATACTGTTTTTATAGGTATAGTTTATAGTTAGGAATTAAGCTGAAGGAATTTTAGTTTGAGTTTCTTTTAAAATCTAAATCTCCTCTCTTAAAAACAATACTCTAGAAGATTATGCTTGCAAGAACATGATTGAAAATATAAGGTTTAAATAGTCAGGACCCAATTTTATACTACATTCATTATATCAAAAGTAACCATGTGCAAATGATACGATTTTAAAGAATTCTGAAGCTTTCACAGAAACCTAGAGAAACCTTGAGAATATCATAATGAAACACACATGATAGCAGGAACATGGCCACATTTCTTCCCTTTTACCTCTGCTCATCTTATTCCTTTAGCAGCTAATTTTTCTAAGGGGAGGGAATGGTAGCATTAGGAAAGAATGGACACAATTAGCCAACAAAGCGGAACATTTTAAGAGAAACATATAAACAAGGAAAAACATACTGGTGAAAAAAAATCAACACATTGATTGGGTTCACATGACACAAGCCATGGTGGGTTGTCATGTTGTGCAAATGTGACAAGCTATCTGCTGTTGTAGTTTACTGTTCCCATTAAGTATGGTTGTGTGACTTACCCCATCAAGAGCAATGAGTGGTTCGGCAAGAGAGTAAAACCCCCTTCTTCCTTGCTAAACTCTCCTAGGCCACCATCAGTGACAGCTCCCCCAAAAGTGATCCAAGTACCCAAGTAGCACAAAATATCCAAATGACATTTGGGGTGATGAGGACCCACTAGGTTTAGCCTGCTGTGATCACAAGTCCTTTTGGCTCACTGTAGCTTTTTCTCCCATTACCTTTTAGAGACGGTGAGGGAAGAGTTGCCAATTCATTTTATATTATTTATTTATTTAATAAACTTCTATGCCGCCCCATTTGCCGAAGCCTCGGGGCGGCTCACACTATTGTATACTGTGGTCCCTCACAGAAGTTTGTGGGTCCTTTTCATGATGCCATCATCCTCCAGGCCTCCACTGTGTTTCCCATCCAGTTTTGCAGCTTATTTTAGACTGTGGAAAGTTTTATTTCCTATCACACCTTTTAGCAAAGAACATTACAGAGCACTTTTTGCAATTGTGCTGTACTGTAGCACTACCTTGTGGTTATTTAATAAAGCATATGGGAAGGCAGACTAAGTAAACTACTGGAAGGACAACATGTGGAAAGGATATGCTTTTCCTTATGCAACAAAAATAGAAGTCATCTCAATAAAGCTTCATGATAAATACCTCCTGTATAGAACCACTTAAAAAGGGGTGGTTTGTACTGTTCCATGTTCCCAATCACTGCAGTCTTGGGAACAAGTGGAAAAATGAAAACACCCTCAGGATATTGGAGTCCAAATACACATACATGCACACACAGTGCCATGAAAGGGCAAACATGGATTTATTTAATTGTATCTCTATACTGCTTTTTCTCCCTATCTTTGGTGGAAAAGCCCAGCTTAAATATGTCAGTTGCTGATGTAATCATAGCTTGGTTTGTTAATGACCTGTTCCATATATTTTTATTGCAGATCTCTTCAGCTCCAGGCCCGTTTCATGATATTGTTACTTAAAACATGTAAGAGAAGCAATCCCAGGTTTCTTGCTTATACCAATTGACTGAAAATAGTCTGCCATTTTCATCCAAATTGTCCATTTGGGGCAAAACATGACTTTGCATGTGAGAAAAATATAATACCAAATTGAAGATAAAGAAGCAACCTCAAGAAGGCTAATTCTGGGTATAGAAAATAAAGAAGCCATAACTATCAACACAGTCCTTTTCAAAGTTCATCCTAGAAGTAAAGCCAAAGATTGCATTATTCATGTTCATATAATATTGTGTTGTTGTTAACCAGCTGTTCCTCTCTCTCCACTTAAATAGTAAGTATAAATAAATATGACATGTTATACTTTTAAGCAACTTGATAGTGGGACAGTTCACATGAGCACTTTGTGCTAAATAAGCCCCAGTGGCTTGTTTAAGTGACTGCATTTGCCTAATCACCTGTCTGGGTGCAACTTGCCCAAATCCAGGTGGCAAGGCTTGTTGGAGAGTGAAACAAGCCTTAAAATAACTTTTACACTGGAGAGTTGTTTTTTCCTCCAGCAAGCCTAATGTGGATGATAGGGCGAGCTGCACCCTGGCAAATGGCCCTGGCATGTGCTGCAGTTTTAAACAAGCTCCTATAGAATCTTTACCTTTAATATCTCTGTAGTATCTCCCAGTATCTCCTGACCATCTTATTTGTCTCTTGAGAAACCTATATGCGAGTCAAGAAGCAACAGTGAGGACCGGACACGGAACCAATGATTGGTTCAAAATTGAGAAAGGAGTTCGGCAAGGCTGTATACTTTCGCCCTGCCTATTTAACTTATACGCAGAGCACATCATGAGAAAGGTGGAGCTAAATTAATCACCAGTTGGAATTAAGATTGCTGGGAGAAATATCAACAACCTCAGATATGCAGATGATACCACTCTAATGGCAGAAAGTGAAGAGGAACTAAAGAGTCTCTTGATGCGGGTGAAGGAGGAAAACTAAGATCATGGCATCCAGTCCTCTCACTTCCTGGCAAATAGATGGGGAAGAAATGGAGGTAGTGACAGATTTTATTTTCCTGGGCTCCAAGATCACCGCAGATGGGGACTGCAGTCAAGAAATTAAAAGACGCTTGCTCTTGGGGAGGAAAGCTATGGCAAATCTAGACAGCATACTAAAAAGCAGAGACATCACCCTGCCAACAAAAGTGCGTATAGTCAAGGCTATGGTTTTCGCAGTTGCAATGTATGGCTGTGAAAGCTGGACCATAAGGAAGACTGAGCGCCGAGGGATTGAGGCCTTTGAGTTGTGGTGCTGGAGGATACTCCTGCGAGTCCCTGGACCGCAAGGCGATCAAACCGGTCAGTCCTAGAGGAGATCGACCCTGACTGCTCTTTAGAAGGCCAGATCCTGAAGATAAAACGCAAATACTTTGGCCACCTAATGAGAAGGAAGAACTCCCTGGAGAAGACCCTAATGTTGGGCACAATAGATGGCAAAAGAAGAAGGGAACGGCAGAGAATGAGGTGGCTAGATGGAGTCACTGAAGCAGTTGGTGTGAGCTTGAGTGAACTCCGGGGGATGGTGGAGGACAGGAAGGCCTGGAGGAATGTTGTCCATGGGGTCACAATGGGTCGGACACGACTTCACGGCTAACAACAACAAAGTATCTCCCAGAGTGATCATGCAGACCATGTCCATACCAAATATTTGGAAAAATAGTTAAATTACCATTACTTCATAAAATAAACCAAAAATATCCATGTTGAGCACATGTATGTAACATTTGACTTGTAATTCTTTTCAAAGTAGGCAGGAAGGCTTTCCAAAAGGAATGCTTCACACTTTAGAGAATGGGAACTCTGATACCCTTCTTTCTCAAGGTTTACCTTTCGATGTTTCTCTCGTTCTTCATTCAGTTCCTTAACTTTTTTCTCATATTCTTTATATATTTTCCTTTCATCTTCATTCCAGAGTGCTTCTTCTTTTGCTGCAAAACTGGGTGCTGGAATCTCCTAGATATATCAAAGACGACTTTCAAAATTCCATTAGATATTTATTGGCTTTATTATGCTTGAAGGATTTATAACATGAGTTCTGTCATATTCTGGTGACATATATAATGGTATTATTGGGACTCTAAATGAATTGCTGATGGGCACCCTCAGATTTGCATGGTCCCCAGTCCATGGGAAAGCATCTTCGCCCAATTTTAAAATAACCTCACTTTCTAGTGACATGTAAACTTAGGAATGGTGTTCTGTTTAAACTAGGATCAGAGAACAAACAAGAATCTGAAACCTCAGTTTCATTCTCATTAACATAATTTAAATAAACCACATTCCCCCAAACTTGGATGTTAGAAGAAACTATAGGTAGTTTAAAATCAAAAGTGGAAGCTTTAATCTTTTCATGAGGATGAAGGAGACAGGAGGGCTCCATTCTTGTAAACTGACATAATGGATTCTTATCCTGGTATCTCTCAACTGGGTTCAGATGTAACAGCAAACTATGCTTTGACACTGCACAAAAAGGCTTTCTGCTCATGTGCTCTCTTTCCCCTCCTCTTACATTCTCCAAATCATTGATTTTTTTTCCTATGTAGCACCAGGCATCATCTGAACCAGCAAGCTATATTTGGGACCAGATTTGCAATCCTGGCTTGTCATTATGTAGGACCCAGCATCTTAGCTTTATTAACCAGGATCTTATTTATTTACTTATTTATAACATTTTTATGCCGCACCCATCGCAGAAGCCTCGGGGCGGCTTACAAAGAAAATAAATAAACAAAGAATAGAATAACATTAAAAATTTGGAGTTTCTCGGCCATAATTTAAAACCACTAAACAAAACAACCGATTAACAATTAAAATATCGTTTAAATAAAAAGGTCTTGGCCTGGCACCGAAAAACAAATAACGACGGCGCCAGGCAGCCCTCTCTGGGGAGCACATTCTTAAACCATTGTTAAATTGTGCCTTATGTTTCTTTGCAATAAACTGATGTTAAATTGTGGCTTCTTGTTTCAGATGTAACAGGGAACTGTATTTTTAGCTAGCAGGAACTGGTCCACCAGTAATAGGAACACTTGTTCCTAGCATGCTGAACTATGATGTAGCAAGCTGGAAATGTGCATATGAAGTAGACCTAAATGCATATTGATCAACTGTAGCCATCAACATCTGTAAAGTCTTTAGTTTCCAATAAATGCTGACTGATTTCCCTCATCCTTTGCCTTGGCATAACTGGTAACACTGAGTATGAAGGTGCCAGGTTTCAAACAACTTTTGGAAATGTACTTATTTTCATAGGCTTTCCGTAGCTTGCAATGAATTATGACGCTCTTCTGTTTCACTTGTTGTTTCTGCTGTAATATTTTAATGATTATTTTTATATTTTAACATTCTATCAGATATATGTTTCGGTATAACCTGCTTAGAAATGTTACTGTAAGTGGTATATAAGTATTACAAAGATAGAAAGGGCCAGTTGGACATGATGTTCTCAACCTGATAAATAATAGTTTATTTAGTCAGAAACTAGTATTAGGGTTGTCCCATTGCACTGCAGGTTCAATGCTGGAATTCTGATCTTTTAAAACCATAATTTCCTGTTATATTCACGTGAGGAACTATTTTTGTAATATTAATTTATTAACAAGGATCTTAAACCAAGATAAAACTGCCTTAACATCCTGGGTATTAATTCAGCATCAAACCATAGTACCCTGTTCCAGATTAACAGAGAATTGTGGTTTAAAGAGATCAGATATGGAACACCAAAGCTGGCACATGAGGAAGAAGAGAGAAGAAGTTGTTCATGGATTCAGTGCTTGTTTATGGCTTTGTAAATAATTTGAGAAGTCAAAAATATTTAGTCCAAAAAGATGCAGGGGAAAATCAATTTATTTACAATTAATTTACCCCCAGAAGATGATTTTCTCAATATCATTATTTCATGTTGATCAAGATCATTGTCTTCAGAAAGGCAAGGCTGCTTTGTTTGTGAGCTAAATATTATATTGCTTTGCAGTAATGTGGACCCTTAATTGTAACTTTGTATTTAGTGGACCCCTAATTTTAACTTCAATAGAAACACCACTCACCATCTTCAAAATATCTTCTTTTTTTATTTCAAGGACTCCATTCATCATGTCCATAAGGCCACGCTCTCTTGCATTATCCCCCTGAAAACCATGGTGAAATAAAAGGTAATGTAAAAATGGAACACTGGTATTGAAGAGGGGAAAAATGAAGAAAAGCAGATTACCTGAGCAGCAAGCCGTCTTTTATATTCAATCCTCGCCATAATCTTTTCTTTTGCTTTCTGCACTGGTGTCAAGTACTTTTCCACTTTGATCTGTGAAGACAGAAAGTTCAGCTTCAGCTTTTTCCATTAATAGACTGTCTGACAGTTCAATTTTTTTTTACACAAACTTCATAGTAACCACCCCATTTTCGTACCATCCTTACTTCATAGCAGCATTGGATTCCTTATTTCTACCACATTTGTGGGGATGATATATTCAACAACACATTATAGATTACATAATTTTGAAATTATATGTGAACTTAAAAATAGCTATGTAATCTATAATGTGACCTTAAATATAATTATGTAAGGTCATGTTATAGATTACATTTGTTACATGAGTGGTACAGCTTAATAATGATTAATGGGCAGATAACTGTCTGAGCATCCTCAGCATTTGGATAAGACATCACTAGTAAACCCCGTGCGCATTAGTCATAGCTGTAACCCTTGTTTGAAAGTAGATTCACTTATGAGCCTTACATGCATAGTACTGCATTTTCCATTTAAGAAATGGATGGAAGTGAACCACACATACAAGATTCTGACTTCTGCATGGGAAGTGCGTGTGTAAATCCATTCTTACTTTGGTTTTGATCATAACTGATGGTATCACTTATGATGAATGAATGTCATTTCTGAAGGCATTTTGCAAACTAGCACTTTCTGGAATGTCTGTTGTAGGCATATGCCCCTAAACAATATCATCCTCACCCTTACATTAAAATCCATTGTTTACATTAAAATCCATTTACTAGGTTTATATCGCACCCTTTTATTTTTCTTTTTTAAGAAATCAAAGGGGCTTACATCATTGCTCTCCTCCTGCTCTCTGTCTTATCCCCACAACAACCACCCTGTGAGGTGAGCTTCTGTGACCCAGACTCTCAGCCCAAAGACACCCAGTTGGCTCCATGGCTGAGATGAGCAGGACTAGAACCCAAATTGCCTGGCTCCCAGACCCACATTCTTAACCATTACACCAGACTATGTTCCTCTTATGAGGAACTTGAAGTTGCTTATATAGTCTTTCTCCTCTTCTCCAATTTATACTCATAACAACCCTATAACATAAGATAAGCACATATATGTACATGTGGAATGTGCTCCTCAGAGAGGTCCGCCTGGCACCATCGTTATATGTTTTTCGGTGCCAGGCCAAGACCTTTTTATTTAAATGGCATTTTAATTGTTAGCTTATTTATTGATTTTATACCTTTGGCCAGGGCGTTTCCAATTATATTGTTTTTATATGATTATACGTATTTATTTATTGTTGTAAGCCGCCCCGAGGCTTCGGCGAATGGGGTGGCATAGAAGTTTACTAAATAAATAAGTAAGTAAGTAAGTAAGCAAGCTAAGAATGTATGACTGGTCCAAAGTACCCAGTGAGCTTCATGACCAAGTGGGCACTAGAACCTGGATCCCCTAGGTCCTCAACTCAGCACTCTGACCAGCATACCACACTGGCTTTCATGTGTACCTGAACTTGATGCCATCAAACAGGCACCATAAAAACAATGAGATAAAAGCAGATACCCCCATCTTCTTCCCCAGGAGAACTGCTGCCCAGCCAAACATAGCTGGATGGGATCGTTCCTCTTTCAAAGTATGCACCTCCCCTAGTTACAGTTTTAATCTTCTATGGAGAGAATGGTCTGTATTTTAGGTACATACCTCTGAATCTTGAACTATCAGTGCCCGATCTGGTTTCTCATTATCTGTAAAAGTGGGCATCCATATCTCCTCCTGGATATCCAACTGGTGCAAGATCTCTGAAATCCTCACATTCCTCTCCTTCACACGTGCAATTTCCATCTCTTTCATTCGGCAGACTGAGTCAAACTCCTTATTGAAAGAACTCTTGACACTGTGAATGATGTCCTGAAACAGCAGGTGAGAAGATGGTAGTACTACAAATGGAAGGGGAAAACTTCCAAACATATGATGAGGATCATGGGGTATTCCCCATGGTACCTGACAGCAGCTCTGATCACCTGTTTCTAGGGACTGTTTTCATTACTAGTGCTAGTAGTAACCACTGTTCAGAAGGAGAATAAAAGTTTCAGAGTAGAGAATCCTATCATAACAGGTAGTATGTATAGGTAGCTAGTATAACAGCAACTGAGCACATGCTTAATGGGCTGTTTTCAGTCTGGACAACCCAAATGCTTTTCGAACAAACAGCTATTGAACCCAAGTGACTAATTTCTGGAATGCAAACTCAGCATTCTTTCTTCAGCCCTGGGAAGCCTTATAAAAGCACCTTTCTTTTTCCTCATGCTGCTTAAAGAGGAGTTTTACAGAGCTCAGAAACTGTAGACCTCCCAGCAGAACAGATCCAAGAAGGAATATATTCTGGACAATACCAAAACAGCATTCTATCCAAACAGAATGCCAATATTTAATTACCAACTGCAGCATCCTGCATTCACATACATATCTGTATTATTAGCTAATCTGGCCTCTCACATTTGCTGAATGTCAAAAAATATCACAGTGCTACACAGAAACCTCAAATTTCAGACATGCAAGACAAGTTTCTCTATCTACAACAAGTGGGTCTGTTCAGCTTTGAAAATAGGTATGGGGAGACATGGCAGATGTGTTTAAAATTATGGGTAGAGAAAGCAAAGGGGAAAACTTTTTTTCTCCCTGTCCATAATACTAAAACCTGGAGTCAACCCATGAAGCTGATTGGTGGGAAATTTAGGGCAGATAAAAGGAAGTACTTCTTCATACAACACATAACCTATGGAATTCACTACCACAGAAAGCAGTGATGGCCACTAATTTAGATGGCTTTAAAAGGGAACTGGACAAATCCATGGAGGTGAAGACTACCAATGGCTACTAGTTCTGCTGGCTAGGTGCTACCTCTGTTTTCAGGGGTGGCATGTCTGCATACACCAGTTGCTGAGCACCTTGGAAAGCGGAATATCCATCCTTGTATCCATCTGGCTTGAGGGATCTGGTTGGCCACCATGTGAACAGAGTACTGGATTAGATTGGTATGATGCAGCATGGCTTTTATTTTCTTATGAGAAATGTGATGGGAATCTGGCTTGTACTGAGACACAAAGAAGCACACAACTCTTGTGCCCTCTGGAGCTCAGCCGCAATCACATTCCTTCATCCTTCTCCAAAGTGAGGAAAGGTTGCACCAGTGCAGTCAGAAGTGCAGTGACTGAGGAACCAAAGCTCCCAGTCCCCAGCTGCATTGTGACCCTCACATACATGTTTTAAAAGAACAACCTCCATGCTTTAAAAGAACAAAACAAAACTTTTCAGTTCCCATTGTACAACAGCACAGTTGTGGTACAAACATAAAATTTAATTATGAGGAAAGTCCAGTACCACAAAAGGAAAGAATTCACATTACACATATTGCTGCCACTGTTGTCACTTTCTTGATTACGGATGGTCACTCTATCAAATATTTTTGTTGGTTGGGGGTGCAAAACCTCAGGCCCGGGGTGACATCTTGTACTTCACCTAAGCCCTCCTGCATTCTTCACAGGACCCTTCCTGTTCCTTCCAGTTGCTGATTGCTTGATAAAGTCATAACTTTTCTGCAGCCTCCAGCTCTCCACTCTTAAAGCTCACGTGCTTCTCCTAAGGCATTAAGAACTTTAAGTGAACATAAGCTGGCACTTTTGGCCCTATCCTTTCTGCCTTTGGCCAGCCCACCACTGGAGTGTGGCCCCTGAGATCTTAACAAAAATGGAATCTGGCCCTCAGGCTGAAAGAAGTGATGTTTTCTTGCCCTAGGAGGAAAGGCCTGGGCAGAACCTCTGAGATTTAGATCCTGTGGACCTTTTTTTAGGCAAAATCAGCACCCAAAGTTATGTTTAATTCCATTGATTTTTTCCCTCTCTTTCTACCATGCCATCTCCTTGCATTAGTCTCCAAGCACCTTGCATCATTTTTTTAAAGTATTAAGTTAAATATTTGATTCAGATCTCACTGTTGTTGGTTAAGAGAAACTACGTTTTCTGACTCATTTTTTTGAGGAAATGATCCCTATTGCAGTAAGTGAAATTTACTTTTGAGCAAGCACAAAGTGTCAGTTCAAGGCTTCAATCCACAGCCAATTTTGTCTTTGACAAAGACTGAGCACTGCAGGACTGCAATGGGGATATATTTTATTTATTTATTACATTTATATACCACTCCATATATTGCTGCACTGAGTGCCCCACCAAAGCAAAATTACAATTACAAAATTACAGTTTTGCTTCCAACAAATCAGGCAACAGTAGTGCCTCCTAAGAAACACTCAAAAGCCCTAATGTGGAAGTGCCCCAGCTCTGATGAACAAGAAATATGCTAGGGTTGTGGGAATCAAGTGCCTGAAGTAAAAGAACTTGGTGAAGCAAGGTGCACCCACTAGTGGGTTATGTGCACCCACTATTTGTCATCAAAATGATGCTTCTGTGTCTCTTACAAACCAAACATGGCTGCCCTATCCTGTCTAGTCTGACCCTAAATTAAAAATAAATCATGACAGAGGTGCTTGCAGGGCAAGGAACTAGTTTAGTGAAACAGTTATCTGTTTTTTCAACAAAAAGCACTGCAATCTTTTCTTCAGAGATATAGTGAATTACACATGTCTAGAAAAACAGCTGTGGCTAGCTATTATTAACAAAATAAGAAATTCTTATGAAGAAGATACCCGTAGCAAAATAATTTGATTGATCTTCTCCTCCCGCGTGTGTAGTTCTAGTTGGTTATATAAAACAGATGTATCTCCATCATACTGTGAACTCAGGCTCCCCACTAGGGCATCAACTTTTTCTTCCTCTTCTTCGGCTTTCTCCCCTTCCTCTTTAAGAACTGAAGACTGAGACTCAAACTCAACAATTGTCCTTCGAAGCTGGACATATATAAAACAGCACAGCAGATTACAATGCTAGTACACATGAAGCCTGAATCAGATAGATTGGGATGGACTGCAACCCCTATCAGCCGTAGCCAACATAGTCAATAGGGAAGAATGTAGTTTTTTCCTCTTGTGATGTACCTAGCAAAGCTTGCATAGCTCCATTTTCCCCTCATAACACCTAAGCTGAGGTGAGTGACTGGCCTAAAGCCACCCAGTGAGCTTTGTGGCCAAGTGAGGATAGAAAGTCAGATCCACTGCCCTAACCACCACATAACACTAGCTTCTCATATATCACCCAAGTTGGTCCTATAGTCCTTTAAACAATGACTGATTTATTGAGATATAAGTTTTTATTGGAAGAGCTTGCTTCATCCAGTGTGTGTCTCAGGTAACAGGTGTTTTGTAAAGAACTTTGTGGTAGGATTTAGAATTAGTTGATTGAGTTTGGAATGGAAAAAGCAGTAGAAACAGTGCTTTTTTTGTAATAAAAAAAAGGTGCCGGAACTCACGTTTCCGCCAGCAGTAAGCACACACGCCAATCCCAAGCACAATCCCAAGCTGAGCAGCTCCCAAGCAGCTATCTCTCACTATCAGATAGCAGATAGCAGGCACAACAGCAGCCTGCAGGCACTATGTTAATGATGTTTGCTGCTGATTCAAAATCACTTCGTAAAATCCATTGAAAAAAAGGTGCCGGAACGCTGTTGCTGTTCCGGTGCGTTCTATGACAAAAAAAGCCCTGAGTAGAAATATAGGGAAGGCAAAATGAAGAGCACTTCTGCGACAGCTAGTGAATCCCTACTAGCATTGTTTGTTGTGACTTAGAACCAAATGAGACATATTATTCACACAATTGCTAGTTACATGACTGTTTAAAAAAATGAATAGCTTGTGTGGGAAAGTGGGGCTCAAACTGCAACTGTGGTATAGGAGCAAGGCTTCACACCCTGCCCCTGAATGGTGCTGGGCTGGATTCCTTTCCCAGATCTAATTATTTGTAATTAGTAATTGAGTGCATAATGTTGCACTTGTTTTGGACTTGGGGCTAGCTACTTTTCAAGTTACATTCAAAAATAGAGTGAAACGTATTACACTATATGAAAACTGCCAAAGTCTGTTTGAGAAGTGTTGCAACGTGTAACAAATGTTGAAATCTCTCAAACCCATAAATTCAGGGATTCAAAATACTAAATTCTGAGCAAAGCATTTTATATAGTAATCCATACATCAGCAAGTCTCAGGAAGAACTGATGAAAGTATCAGCTCATGAAGATTTTGATTTCTCTGCTACTACATGAGTTCACTAGGGGACAGAGTATTATAACATGGACAGCTATTTGTCACATGAACTGCTGGTTGTACTTTCCAAGTATTTTCTATCTATAATGCTATGAGTTGTAGTTCATGTATTTAGGGCGCAATTATATAGGACTTTTTGTTACCTAAGCTTGTGCAAGATTGCACCTTTACCTGACCAGGATAAAAAGGTCAAACTATGGTACAGTTCTATGAACTAAATTCGAAATTATGAGGCTTGACGTTTTAAATGAACTGTCTGAATTCACTTGAAGAATGGCTTGTTTTTAAGAGAATGGGAGATTCTACCTTCAGATCTGCTGACTCAATCTTCTTTAGATAAAGAACTCTCTCCAACATCTGGCGCTCTTCTGTACTCCGTTCTTTAAGGGGGAAATTATGAACTTCACAAGAGGAGTGGAATGTCTTTAGAGTGGGAAAGAGAAATGACAGGTGAGATATATCTTATTTGGTATATTTTTCAAAATAATGTTAAACATTCATGGGGATGGCTTTCCACATAAGCCAAATTTGCTTGACTAAGAATTCAGTGACACCTTACTCTTCTAAAAATTATTGGATAATGTACTGATTTTATGACATAAATTTCATGTTTTCCACAAAAGCTTTATGTCACAATAACTTTGTTAGTCTCATTCTGTCAGATGCTGCATGTTCTCATTAACTTTTTGAATAATAGATGGGATTTAAGTCTGGTTTTTAAAAAAGTTTTAAAAGACTTCAAGATACTAAGGGGCTTTTTGCATGTACCTATATTTCTAAGAGTTAGATCCAGACTGCATTGGTTGAACTTTGGTCCCATTGGATTCAAAGTGAAAAAATAGTCATGAGTAATGTTGCAAAAGCTTTCTAATTATCTGGTTCAAAATATAATGCTCATATGTATTATGAGTTACGACTCATTTCCCATCGACATATTTTTACTGTTAGAATATAAACACTTGCAATTTACAATGAGGCTTGTTGGAAAAAACCTATAGCTAAACTAGAAATTTTAAAGACCAAGAAAATAAAATCAATAGCAGAAGCTGTCCATTGTTTGGCCTGGGGTACAAGTTCATCAGACACAGCTCCTTTTCTGTTAAGCCTCTGGAACCTTCTTAGAAATATCCATAGTTCCCTAAACACGTTTAAATCTCCCCTTTGAGGCTTTTGCTTAGTTCTATCTGAGCTATGTCTTGCACAAAACAGACACATTTTTAGGTCAATATGATTAACTTGATGCAATTAATGAATCAAATTATGAAGTTTATTTTTCATGTATCACCTAATTATGCACACTATCGCTTTGTGATTGGAACAAATTATAGAAACTGTATGCATATCTCCTCCCCTCATCCCTGTGTGCACAAACCAAATTTTCATTGAAATACACCTAGACACACCTACATGGGAACAAGACCCACTGATTTTGAATAGACATGTATTGAATTATGCTGTCAATGAGTGAAAAATCTGAAGATTTTCATTGCAAAGTCCCTGATCACTGTAATTCTAGATTAGTAATATTTAAGTGAGCAAAAACTTATAGTATTCTAAAGCCCTATTAATTAGCAAATGGTTAAATTACTGTTGGCACTGGTAAAGCTGAAAAGTGCCATTGCTTACTTATGAAATATAGTTGAAGAGACCTTCAACTAGACTAAACCAAAATTTTGCTGAACATAAGAAAACTATTTCAATGATAATTTACAGAAGCAGATCTGCACCCATTCAGAATGATGCAAAACCCCACAGATAATTCACACAGTGTAAAATCAGTCTTGGGACTCTGGTATCACCAGGGAGGTAAGTTTGTGGTCTGATACATGTTTTTCTGGACTTAACTATTTATTAATTAATTTCATTTCTATGCTGCCAAAAAACTGAAGAATTATTGAATTACTGTATTTACAAATGAAAGAAAAAGTAAACAAACATACCTTAACTGAACGCCCTTTGACAGACATGGCATCCCAACATTCCCGTTTGATGAGCTCACGTAAATAGCAATTGGCTAGATTTTCCATCTCTATATCCTTCCTTACCTTTCCCATAACAAAGAAAACAAATGAGGCAAATATTATTTATTTATTTATTATTTGCATTTATATACCACCCTAATAGTCCAGAGGGCTTTCTGGGTGGTTTACAAACATTAAAACCCGCCATCCTAAACAAATAAATAAACTGGCTATACCAGGACAGTATAAAATAACATAGTTAAAATGAATTAAATAAATAATTATACTATTAAAATTGATTAACATTAAAATATTAGTTAAATAAAAAGGTCTTGACCTGGTGCTGAAAAGCATATAATGACGGCACCAGGTGGACCTCTCTAGGGACCGCATTCCATAGTCAGGGCGCCACTGCAGAAAAAGCTCTCCTCCGAGTACTCTGTCTCCTAACCACTTTTAAAGAGGATTCCCGGAGGAGGGCCTTTGCTGCCAATCTTAGGGGGTGGGAGGGCATATAGGGAAAAAGGCATTCCTTTAGGTATCCTGGTCCCAAGCCGTTTAGGGCTTTATAGGTAATAACCAGCACCTTGAATTGAGCCCGGACTTCAATGGGAAGCCAATGGAGCTGATAGAGGACTGGAGTTATGTGAGATGTCGAGTTATGTGATAAGAGGACTAGAGGACCAATCCCCAACAGCATCCTGGCAGCTCTATTTTGCACCATCTGAAGTATCCGGATCGTCTTCAAGGGCAACCCCACATAGAGCATATTACACTAGTCCAAATGGGAAGTAACCAGTGCATGTGTCACTGTTGCAAGGCAGTTCTCCTCCAGGTAAGGATGCAGCTGATAGATCAGCCAGAGCTGAAGGAAAGTACTCCTTGCCACTGCTGTCATCTGGGCTTCCAGGGACAGTTCCAGGTCGAGGAGCACTCCTAAGCTGCAGACCCTGTCCTTTAGAGGGAGTGCAACCCCATCCAGGGCAGGGCCCAGGTCACTTACTTGGAATCTCGAATCACCTACCAACAGGACCTCTGACCTATCTGGATTGAGCTTCAGTTTATTGGCCCAGCCCATTACCTCGGCCAGGCACCAGTTCAGGACAGCCACTGCCTCACCTGGATTAGTTGAAAAGGAGAGGTAGAGCTGGGTGTCATCAGCATACTGATGACTCTGCAGCCCAAACCTCCTGATGACCTCTCCCAGCAGTTTCATGTAGATGTTAAAAACTAAGGAGAACAAAATGGAGCCCTGCATTGCTCCATGGCAGAGTTGCCATGGCGCAAAGCCAAAGTCCCCCAGCACCACCTTTTGGAATTGGCCAGTAAGGTAGGAGCAGAACCATTGTCAAGCAGTTCCTCCTATTCCAAGTCCCGACAGCCTATCCAGAAGGATACCATGGTCGATAATATCGAAAGCTGCTGAGAGGTCCAGGAGAACCAACAGGGATGCAGTCCCTCTGTCCCTCTCCCTGCACAGGTCATCATACAGGGCGACTAAGGCAGATTCAGTACCGTAACCAGGTCTGAAACCGGACTGAAATGGGTCCAGATAATCAGTTTCATCCAAGAGTGCCTGGAGTTGTCCCCCCACCATCCATTCCAACACCTTGCCCAGGAACGGTCTATAATTGGTGGCCATCTCTGGATCCAGGGATGCCTTCTTTAGGACAGGCCTGATCACCGCTTTCTTTAAAGAAGCGGGGACCCAGCCCTCCCTCAGTGAGGTGTTAATAACTTCCTGGATCCAGGAACCAATCCCATATTTGGCTTTGGTAAATAACCATGAAGGGCAAGGGTCAAGTAAGCAGGTGGTTGAACATACTTGTCCAAGCACCTTGTCCACATCATCAGGCCTCATTAACTGAAATTCATCCAATAAAGCTGGACCAGACGGAGTTCTGGACACCCCCCCCAGAGGAACTGTATCAACTGTGGAGTCCAGCTCGTGACTAATCTGAGCGATTTTCTCCTTAAAGTGCCGGGCAAAGTCATCACAGTGGTCAATCGATGGTGGCACAGGATCTTTTTTAGGGCCTGGATGTATTAGCCCATGTACCACTTGGAAAAGCTCCACTGGATGGCACTGTGAGGAGGCAATGGAAGTGGAAAAGAATTTCTTGTTTGCCGCCCTCACTGCCACAGCATAGGCTCGACAGTGAGCGTGTAAGCGTGTTCAGTCAGATTCATCCCGTGATTTCCTCCACCTGGCCTCTAGCCGTCTACAAACCCACTTCATTGCCCGTAATTCAGATGTATACCATGGAGATGAACAGGCTCTGCCTGGCAGGAGAGGACGCTTAGGAGCGAGTCTGTCAATAGCTCTGGTCATTTCCCCATTCCACAGCTCAACCAGAGCAGCAACAGGAGCGCCAGCTTTATCAACTGGAAAATCCCCCAGAGCCCTCAGGAATCCATCTGGATCCATTCGGCTCTTACGAACCATTGTAATGGGGTCCACACCCTTACAGAGAGAAAGGCCAGATCTGAGCTCAAACCTCATGAGGAATTGATCTGACCATGACAAGGGAGTCAGACACAAGTTCCTCACTTCCAGATCACCCTCTTCCTGCCCTGTTGAGAAAACCAGGTCCAGAGTGTGACCTCGTTTGTGGGTTGGGCGAATGACATGTTGAGAAAGCCCCATGGCCACATGGAAGCCATGAAGTCCTGAGCTGCCCCAGTCAGAACAGTCTTGGCATGGAGATTGAAGTCCTCCAGGACCACCATCCTGGGGGTCTTCAACACCAGGTCCGAGATGACCTCCATCAGCTCAGGCAGGAAGACTGATGGGCAGAAGGGTGCACGGTACACCAACAGAATCCCTAATCTGTCTGGGTTGCCCACCACCAGATATAAGCACTCTAGGCCTGGTCTCGAGGGGACAGGAAGCCCCGCAAGGGAAACTGCAGCTCGGTGAACCAGACTGACCCCCTCCCCTTCCCTCAGGGCATGGCTTGTGCTGGATCAGATACCCAGGCGGACACAGTTCAGAGAGGGCTACATGCTCACCCTCTCCAGCCCAGGTCGGCCCCCTCATCCACTATTAGATCATGGATGAGGGATGTCTTGTGGACTGACCTGACATTTAGCAGCAGCACCGTCAGGCCCGAGGGGCGGTTGATAAAGTTACCTGGAACCTTCCAGTTGGGGGAATAACCAGAAGAGGGGACAGACACCAAACATCTGACCCCCTTCTTCTGTAATGACGTGTTAATCCCCCAACGCCGTATCTCCCCTTGCCCAACATCACTCCAATGGTGGTGCCCACGTGCTCCCCAGGCAACCCCATCAGACAATAAAACAACAATAAAACTCAGTCGTGGTATAGAAATACAATTAAAACCCTCCAACCCACTAATTAAATTTATACTAATTTAACTGCTTTTCACTGTAATGTGTACAGTACAACAATCTGCTATCTGTACAGTTATTAACTAATGCTAACATAAAAAGCCTGGACCTCATAACCCTTCTAAATTGTTGGAAGTATTTAAAGTACTACCTTAAGGCATTTCACAGGAGTGCAAGGTTGATATATAAAATAGCAGTTTGGTATATCTATGTAACTGTGTTATTCAAATACAGTGGCATTACTGGCTTCTCTACATGAGATATTTAGCAAGCATTTAAGATTCCTCACTCATAGTAGTTTGCAGGTTCTTTACATTATGCCATCATTCTCCAGATAAACTCCTGTGCTTTGCAACCATTTCCATGACTTTTTTTAGATCAAGGAAAACCACACTATGAGAAACTTATGTATTTTTCCATGTCTGCTGTACTGCATCACCAACTTGTGGTTGTGTACAGAACATACAGGAAAGCAGAGAAATAAAAATCCCATGAAAAACACATGTAAAGAACTTGAACACATCCCTCAAAGAACTTGAAAGCAAATGTTGGGAAAGTGGCAGGTTAAAAACCTCATATAGAGAAGACATATAGATGCCATTAATATAATGAAGTTAAAATTTTGCATGTATGATTCACAGTTGGTACAGTTTCTTCTAAATCTTTTTGCCAAACATCAGCCTTCTCCAAGCTGGTGCCTTCCAGACAAAATGAACTACAACTCGAAGCATCCTGCGTTGATGGAAGTTCTAGCCGAACACATCTACAGTACTAGAGAAGGCTGCTAGAAATGGTACAGCTGCAGAGAATTTGTAGCCAAATTTATCTTAGTTGCAGTATTACAGCACAAAATGCCAACATACCAACTCCTGAACCCACTCAAATTTCATTACAAATTTCTTAACATATGCAGAAGGCAGTAAACCTTTCATTTCAAGATATGTAATGAAGACAGCCAGTGCAGTATAGTAGTTAAGAGCGTGGGACTGGGATTCAGGAGATCTGGGTTCTAGTCCCCACTAACCCATGGAGCTAACTGGGTGACTATGGGCCAGTCACAGACTCTTAGCTCAACCTACTGCACAGGGTTGTTGTTGTGAGGATAAGACTGAGAGGAGCAGGAGAATTAAGTAAACTGCACTGAGTTCCTTGAAAGGAAAAATTTAAAGGGTATAAGTGTAACAATAAATAAATAAGTAATGCTAGGGATATAATTTCTGGTTGGTCAAGTACATAACTTCATAGACAAAACCTCCAGCCAGAGGTATGGATGAAACTTCTTCAAAGCCCTGGTTAATATCAAAAGGGGTTATTTCCAGAGAAAAACACTTTGAAATACACACTGAATGTTGATTGCATAGGACAGTCCTCAGCGGTCACATCAGAATCTGACAGTTGCTGCGAGCTAGAGTCCCCTGGTAGACTGAGCCTTTGAAGGCTCAGGCAGATGCTCCAAGAAGCAAGAGACACTAAAGTCACTTCAGCTTGGAAATCTTTCATCATTGGCCTTTTTCCATTGTCTAGCCTCAAACACCAAGGTTATATCATCAGTTTTATATATAACTCTTTCACCTCCCCCGCTCTCATCACTACCCAATTCCTTCTATAAATATCAAAATGTATCAAATATCAAAAATACATACAACCAGGAATCTGTAATTTATGCAAATTTCATTGTTCTCCTTAATTAAAATGGTTTATAAGAGAGCATTTGGATTTCCTTATTACAGGTTCTGGAAATGTTTGAAATAGAATCCACAACTGCCTTAATCTCTTGTTAGTACAAAATCATAGTTGGAAGAAATGTCAAATACCATGGGTGGAATCCAGTTATGCCATTTTGCCAGCAGAAGGGAGACTCCCTCAGATCTCCTTACCATCCTGCAGTCCCACAAATCTGCTCTAAGGGGTTGGGAGACCCTCTAGAGCAGACCTGGTGGGTATGCAGGGGGCTGCCATGGCCAGGGGAAGATGGGGAAATATTGTTCCACCAGTACTCTTGCGCTTGTGTGAATTCAGGTTCAGTGCCATATTTTCACCACACTCATGTCCTTTGAAGTTTCTGTGATGATGTTTTTAAAACAAAGCTGAGCCTCATGTTACTCATCACAAAGAGAAAGTATCACTTGCCACATTGTCAGTAACCCACAGTAATAACTTTAAACATTTCTGCTATCATTTAATATTCCCATGTTCTAGTTCTTTCTTCTTTATCCCAGGGGACAGCAATGTGGTGTCTATGACTTCAGTGGCACCTGCCAAATCCCTAGAGTGTGCCCATAATTGCCAAGCTTTCCTCTGCCTCTGTTAAAGTCAATGGAAAAGTTGAACCATTGACTTCAACAGAGTTGGGGAAAAGAGTAAAAATGGCTTGGGAAGGGTTGGGTAGAAGGAAGAGGAAAATCCAAAAATTGAGTGCCAAGTAGAGTGAAAATGTAAAGCAGCAGTCACACCCAACATTTGCTCTCCCGTGGTAAGATAGGATGGTGCCTGAGATGCTTTTTTTCAAAAAGTCAAATGTGCCAGCAACCCCCAAAATGTTGCTTATTCCTACATTATCCAATGTTTCATTCTGTTCTGTAGCTGCGAAGTTATGCCATCTCCCAACAAGCTGACCATACCCTTTCCACTTCTTCTTCACTATGTAATTGTTGTTTCTCCTGTTCTTCTATGTCCAGGTTGAATTCTTGTTGATCCAGTTTCTCAATTTTAGGTACCATCGAATTTTCAAGCATCATTTCCTGAATCTGTATTTTTAAAAACAAAACAAAAAAAATCAGTGAATAAGGTATGCATATACACATAAAACAGTGGTGGGAAAGCTGCAGTTCTCCAGATATTTTCAGACTGCAGTTCCCATCAACCCTGACTATTGATGATGTTGGCTAAGGTTGAAGGGAGGTGGAGTATAACAAGACTGGAGAACCCATTTTTCTCCAAGCTGATCTACAAAGTGGAAAGGAAAATGCATCACCAAATACATACATCACATGCACCAGGAATGAAAGGAAAGACAGACAGACAGACAGACAGACAGACGACAACCAAACAGAATGCTGGAGTGGATCCAACATATGATTGTGACTCTTTGAGGATCTGCATCTCCATACATGCATTATAGCAAATGCCAACACTTGTGAGGCTGCAGTAGATACACTGTATGTCAAAATAAAAATGAAGTGGACTGAGTGCAGCCCAGAAGACACACTGGATTTGCATAGATTTATTAGCATGTCCCTCCTATTTACATATTTACAATAAAAAAGGGTTCCCAAACTTCTTAATAAACAGATCAATCTTTTTTGTTTGTTTGTTTCTCTGGAATCTACAATATGTATGACTCTATGTCTTATACTACTAGTATTATGACTGATAGCATTGCCTTCTTTCCAGTATGTAGTGGAACTCAGACAGTGCCAGAGCAAAACACTCTGGTATTTGGTTTTGGCTCACCTCCAGTTTGGAGGTCCACTTAGTTCTCATCAGTGGGTGTTACACTCTCTTTTGAAATTGCACAATATGCAATTTTATACTGCATGAAAGGCACCCCGCTTCCACGTAGTGTTGGTCCCATGTCAGCCATAATATATAGGAACTGCTTCCCAAGCAGAATGGTCCCATCAAGTGGAGGTTCACCACACCAGTGTTAGTTGGTTCCATATTATTATTTATTTGATCATTTATTTAGCTTAAATTCATCTCACTCTTCCATTCTAACAATACAAAAAGGAGCTTACAAAAATTAAAACAAACAATAAAATAATGAAATAATAATATTGAATAATCAGTTCCAAAAATAAGATAAGCAGTTGAACACAGCAACAAGGTTGAAGGCAGAACGTTCCAGAATAGTAGAATAAAATGACACACTGAAAGTGTACAGCTTGCTGGTGATTCTGGGTTACAGAACTTTTTTATGTTTAAACATGCAAAGATTTGCACCCTGAAGCACACTAAAACAGAAAGCTCTTTAGCCTAAAAACTAAACGAAAAGGGCCTGGTCATTTTCCAATCTCATGAAGTAAGGAAGGATGTCAAGTGCAATTAAACTATTATACACTGGATAACTGGAGATAAACATTTGGTTTTGGCCTAAATTGTTTTCTTTGCAGGGGTTTTGTGAGAACCAACATGTGCATGTTAATAGGTGGATATGCAGGGGCTTGCACCTTTTTCTATGCATGGGGCAAACTTGATCTGCTCTTAAATGTTCATAGGCAGCTACAACTGTAACAGGAGCCTCTCAGGATGTTGGATGCATGCAAAACATCTGCATCTTTTTTGCCTTTCTTTGGTCATTCATAGCATGTGGGGTCCCATCATACCCTCCCTGGTCTATCCACATGGTTCCTCAGTTGGGGAAGCCCTTCGCATACTCCTTGCCTTTACCCTTGGTGTGCACAATGATACAAGAAGTAGGGGAACACTTGCTGTTATTTATAAACTGATCAGAGATAAAGCAGAGCCTTCCCAGCACACCACTCACTCCCCCAAATGGGTGAGAAACAATGCACAGGGGATCCCCACTTTATCACCAATCCTAAATCTGGGGTAACATTGAGGATTTCTCCTTCCATCTCTTCCCCAAGCCCCTTGGTAGCTTCTAGGGGACAGGGCTTGGGGACGGTCACATGGAGCAAGCCCCAAGCCCATGTACTGGCTGGGTAACCACTATAGGTCAGATCAGGTCCATGGACCAGATGTTGCCCATCCTTTGGATAAAGGGCTTTGAAAAAGCTATGCATTTAAAGGACCATTCTAAAGTCACAACAATGTGGGCAGTGTTATCATAATGTCCCATAATACTTTAGAGAAGCTGATGTGCAATGCCTTAACAGTGCCTCTAGAAGTATTCTGGCAATTTTTCCAACATACCTTTTTACGCAGTGCTTTAATTCCATCTTTTATTTCTTTTCTCTTTTCAGCAAACTTGCTAGTCTCATTCTCGATGGCCTGCAGCATAACAGACAGAAAGATGGTGGAAAGGAATAAAAAGAGTGGAACAGAAATATAACAAGACTATCTTGGATATGGTATATGAAGCAAAGCCCTGGAAAACTCTAATGGAGATTATAATGTGAAAAACCAATTAGCTTTAGCTTCAGTAAACAAGAATTCTCTTGGCTCTTTCTTTCTCTTAATAGCAAGATTAACTAGAAAGAATCTGCAACAAGCAGAATCCTGTGAAGGATGGCACCTTCTCAAACAGCAGATTGACTGTCATTAACTATCATAAGTTTCACCTGGATGCAGTCTTGTCCTGTTTCTAGTACAGACCACTGCAAACTTCCAAGGATCAGCAAATTTATTTACTGGCTTAGCTATCTCATTATGGAGTATCAAACATGATTTATTAGATTTGGAACTAGCAATGAACATGAACATTCTTTTTTCTTCTTTCCTCTAGAAAGTCCTGCTTCAAAAGAAAGCTTCCAGGTTTATTAAGCCATAATTTGCTGTAACACTCACACTGGAAAATTATTCAATGAGCAAAGCAGGCCTGGAACAAACCACATGTGCAATTTCAAAGTAACCTAAAGAAGTCTTCTATGAGGTTAGGCATGGGGATGTTCAAACATGTTGCCTTCTTCCAACCGACATGGTTTGTTGGATCTGAACTTAGCCAAGACAAACAGATAAACAAACTAACAAACAAACTGCAATAAAGGACGCTGCCATGGATACAACTGAAGTGGCTTGGTTTTCATTTCTTATTAGTCTGCATTTTTATTTTTATAATGCTGTGTCTTTAAAAATAAATTATTTCATAGGGTAGCATGACCAGATTACCATTAAGTCTTCATTGCAGTGCTGAACTTACCTTCTTTACTTTCTCTTCTAACCATGAAGGTTCATCAGATTTTGCTTGGGTCAGAAGATAGTATTCATCTTGATCCGTTGTTTCAATGGTAGATCCCTTTTGGAACCTCAACTTAAAAATATTTAAGACAGAACTTGTATTTTCCAGGACAGACAGACAGACAGACATAAATATATAGATATTTAATATATTTATTCTTATATATTTACATTGCAATGAAATTTAACATTAGTTACTTAATTTTCGATCACACCATATCACTTTACCCATAGTATTCATCAGTCATTTTCACACACTTCCCCAGCTGATCTATATGCACTGTCACTCTTCCATATATTTTCATACAAGGAAATATTTCATACATATTTCCATGCCTTTGTCAAAGTATATGCACAATTATTCCTATAACAATACTTTCTTACATAACAAACATACAGGGACAAATAATAATATGTGACCAGTGCAATGGATCCTTTTCTTTTCTTAAATAGAGTTCAAATATTGTATTTTTTTCCATTTTACTTCTTTTCTTATGGTAGAGTGTGGTTGTTTTGTATTGCACAATAACGAATATAAAAATCACATGCATATATATCACAGTTCTAAAATCGTACTGAAGTTGCTAATATCATACTCATTTTCAAGAGTTTTAACACAGAATGAAAAGAGACAATAAAAACGTAAAGAACAGAATGTCTACCCTGTATCAAAAAATACTGTTCTATTTCTCAACACTCCCCCATCCAACACATATTTGCAGCACATCTTGACTTGCAGTACATCTTATAAGCCATCCAGAGATGAACTGTATTGGACGGGATAAAAATATCCAAATAAATAAATAATTTAAGAAGTATAAGACCTGAGAAGTACTTTCAAAGGATAACTCATATGTGGGTTTTGAAGACATCGTCCACTCTGGCATGGATCTTAGAAATGAGTTTTCACGGAAAATATAGTTGTTATATACGGTAAGAAGATAGATGCCATAATCAACAGCATCCTTCATTTTGCGCTCTCCAAGCTTTCTGGAATGGGAGAAGAAAAAATGAGAAAAAATTATTGGTATTAGGATGTTGCCCTAGAATTGTTCACATTTTTTTCAGCCTCATTTTTTCATATGTAAGGCTAATAACATTAGCTGCTCTTAGCTGACAGAAAACAAGTAGCCAGAATAATTGACAGTATAGAATCTCAACCTTTTCCAGAGATTTTATCTTCCGGCAACTTGATTCTTTTACTTCCTCCCTCATAGAAATATTCAAGTCTTGGTAAGCTGGCATTACACAAATAAAGTCTGCATATGCCCAGCATTCCATATTTTATGGCAATGAATACACTACAGATAGTAATGAGAACATAGCATTCAAAATTAAAAACCTCAAAATTGTTTTAAGTCAGATAATGATTCTGAAATTTGGCAAAAGGATAGGGTATATAGGAAAAAAAACAAGGTTTGTATTGCTCTTGAATAGTAAAATAATAATAGAATAAGATTTCTGAAGTCTATCTGTTTCATACCATTGATAGATATTCTTAGACTCATACGTACTTCCATTTTAGACAAACAAGTGCTCCATCTTGCACACCATTGACAAGCATAAGTTGCCCATCCATTGAGAATGCCAGTGATCTGATTCCCCGTCCATTATATGAATGGCAGTACTCTCGAGCCATAACATCCTAAGGTCGGGTGGCAGGGAGGAAAAAAAAAAACAAAAATGCTTTTACCTGCTGCCTAGAATAATCATTTTGGAGAAAAGAAAGACTAGGGAGAACTGTGGTGGACAGGTTGGGAATACAAGACAGTATCTAATACTGTTGTTCCCTTTATGCATCTGAAGTACAGATACTACAAGAAACATCTAGCACTATGCCAGGAGTGTAGGCTGGTATGATGTACTTCCTTGGAAAACACTTCACTGCATCAATTGTGTAAGTGCAGCAGCCTTATTGGCTTATTGCCCACTATGACTGCACAGATCCAGTTTATTTAATTATAGCAATCTGTAACATATCTGGCCAAGCTTGGGAAGTCTTGCAAATGAAAAATAAATACATGTGAAATATCTTGTAAAGCCATGTCCATCTTAATGGACATGTTCATGTTTAAGAAAGCAACACTCCATAATTCAGGGGCTGATGCCATGTTTTAAAGTGTAAGATTTTCTTACTGATGGTAGATGGAGTTCTAGAAGTACATGGGGCATTTTACTCTTTCATAGCTTTCTTCAGATTGAAGTGGGTATGGGTAAGCAATGAAACCTTCGCATTAATCAGGATTAAAATCAATAGATATAACATTTACCCATAATTAAGATAATCAGGGAAGGGTTTGGGGAACTAATGCATCACACAGCTTTCAATATCTTAACAGTGATTAAGCCATCTCTGCTACTCCATTTAATGTAAAGTGGGGGATAATGGTCTTGAACCAGGGTTTCCAGCGGTCAGTTTCCAGATATTTAGTTCATATGCCACCAGCACACTGATTTTCGGCAGATCAGGCAGACTAAAGTCAGCTGTGCCCTGTAGGATGAGTAGCAGCCTGAATATGTAGTTATCTATTGAAATTCTTTTCAGACTGCTCTACACCCAAAGATATTAGAGCAGTACACAAGTCATGAATAAAATTAAGCATGCTAAAACACACTACAAAATAATACTATATGATAATGACAAATGAAAGCAGCAAAAGAGCAGAATAGACTAAAACTATAAACCATCTTTAAAACGCTTTGGCAAATAAAATAGCTTTTTGCTGGCAAACATTGTTTGTAATGCTGGCACCTGTTGAATTCCAGAAAAGAGGATATCTGTTTTAAGCTATTTTAAATTGTTTTTGTATGCTACCTTGAATGCCATTTTTGGTAGAAAGTCAGGGTATAAATCAAATACATGAATAAATAGCTATTGCAAACGCATGTGAAATTTGCCTTGCAGCTCTAGAGCATAGGTTGAATGGGAACTACACTCTGATAATTACCATACTTGAAGTATCATGGATAAAGAGCAGCCCACTCTCTGAAGCTGAAGCTAACCACTTGCCATGATATGACAAACGAAGGAAAGCACGTCCAAACTGTTTGCTTGATATCTTTTTCTCTGAAACAGTAACTGGCTGATCTTTCCAGGATATCTGCGAACCAAAAAGGTAATGCCGCAAGTTACAATGAATGCAACAGAAACAGCACCCAGAGATGTTCATGTCAACTAAACAGAGGATTGGACTTTCTATGGTCCCCAGACAAAGGTCCCCAGATAGGGTTTCCTACTTATACCCCCATTTACTATGCTACCCCATCTTGTATGGAACAGTCCCCATTTCAAATCTCTCTTTGGATCTCATTTCTGCAAAACCATTTCCTAGACAGCCTTAGCTTTTCTGGCCTGTCTGATTCTTCTTAATTCTATTCACCTCATTTCTGATACTACTGCCTACCATGCTTGGTTGCACATTCCTGAGTTATTAGTTTTGGTTGTTTGGATAGGTGAAACTCTTACCAGTTGGGACCAGGGTTTTGGCTGGCTTTATTTAGTTTATCCTGATAACTCTCCCTAGATGAGGCAAGCAGCTCGTAAGTAGAAGAAAGGGTGGCATTTTCTACTGATTAGGTAGAAACATCCCTTGTAGTCTATTTTGTAAGGCTGCTGAGAGACAGAGTGGGACATCCAAAAATCAACACATACCTTTGTGGAAAGAAGATACTTGCAGATGAAAGGAGCCTGGCTAGCATAACCAAACACTGTGCTGTCTTTCCTCATGACCAGAGAGGTTAGGGGGTAGTCCAATTCATATGTACGCTTATGAATGACACTGTCTTTCAATATCCCTCTTTCTGTGATACATTCCTCATTCTCTGCAGATTAAAAAAGAGTTACAATAGGAGGAGTCATAGATAAATCTACTTTTAGGCCCTTAGAAATAGACAATTGGGACTTGCACTAAGGTGTTGCAAGGTGGAGGGTTCCTATTCAAAATTCCATTCAAAGGACCAGTCAACCATGTCCTTTTCCAGGAAGCACCATTCCAGTTCTATTCCCCTATCTTTTGTTCCCAACCATATCCCTACAGTCACGCAACTTCTGTGTTCACTGAACATGCTTAGTCCTCTTCACTTAAATCTTTTGTTTTCTGCTCCCCTTTCAATGTTTCTTTTTCCCTATTGATACTTTTGTTGCTGTAATTCTGTGAACCTTGCACTTTCTCCATGCCTATTGATACTTCCTCTTGAGAACAGATTGTGGTATTTCACTGACAAAAGCATCCACACTCAGATAATTCTTTTTATGTTAATAGACAAGATTTTCAAAAATAGTGTGGACACATAACAATAGCAAAATTTCATACAGTATTTCATTTTTACCCAAAACAATCTTTGAAGAAAGAGTAAATATCTCCACTCTTGCTCTTTTGATCTCTGGTGGACAAAGCAGTGCAATTACTTCAGATGAATCCTTCTCTACATCATAGAGTGATGTTATGTCAATAATCTCATTGCTCAGTGCTAAAATGGAAACAAATCAACAGATAATACCAGATATAATACCAAACTAATATGTCCCTTCTATTTGTGCACTATATAAAACAGTTCCTACAAGGGTGAAGCTATAAAAATTAATTATTTTACTTAATTTAATATATTTCTATGTTTCCTTCATTCCATCATAGAACTAAAGGTGGTGTACATAGAGTTTCTAGGATACTTAGAATAGCAAGGTAAATACAACTTATGCCTTTAAACTACACCCTAGAACAACCAGTTCATCTACATACATGTAAAGATATGTATGCATTTGTGTATGGTATAACTTCTCTGTCAACAACAACAACACACACAGATGCAAATAACATTTCAACCTAACTAATGACAACCTCACTTTATCATCTGCATTTTGTTATGCAACCTATGTTTGCTAGAAAAAACATCTTAGGTAGAAATTAAGCATGGTTTCCAAAATATCATGAGCCAACTATCGAAAAGCTGATGAACATGAACATTGTTTAGAAACTTTAATGTCGTTACTTTCTGCCACATTGATTCCAGACTTTCTGCAACAGCTATACAAGTTACACACAAAACTACAGTGGTACCTTTGCTCATGAATGCCTCAGTTCACAACCAAATTGGGTTGTGAACTGAAATTTCTGAAAAAAATTGTCTCAGGTCACAAACTCCACATTGGGTGACAATCGTAATCGCACCCGTCTCCTCCACAAGTGCACCCGCGATCATGCCTGTCTCCCCCCACCAGCACACCCACGATCGCACCTGTCTATGGCCACAATCGTGGTCGCGCTCATGCAGGGATGATGGGCGCGATTGTGATCGTGCTGCAGGGGGGATATGGCAGCGTTCATGTTTGGGGGGTGGGGGAGATGGCTGCAATCTTTGCTGTTCACATTTTTGTGATTAAAAAAAATAGTTACAGAACGGATTAACCTTATTTACATTGAACCTTACGGGGAAATTTGACTTGGCTCACAACCATTTTGGGTCACGACCAGAGTCCTGGAACGGATTAAGCTCATGAGCCAAGGTTCCACAGTATTTTTTAAAGGATCCAAACAAATATTGTTGGGGCAGCAGCAAAAACTGAAAGACTCAAAAATTGCTTTTAAATAAAGGTGGCATGCAAACCAGATGATTCTCTGGTAACAAGAAAGTTAATTCTAGAATCATATCTACCAACAATTATAACTATCATATACAGAAAATAAATATCCACAAATGCTTTTATATTACCTACACATCCAAGGACTGCAAAAAATGCTGAAGGCATAGCATTTAGAATAAAGATATTTCCATCTGTAGTTGATGTTATGAGAAACTGACCACTTTGTTCATAGCTTCAGAAAAAGAAGAGCAAAGGCAGCATATTAAAATGCAAGTACAGTTTTTAACATGAAACACAGCAACTGATAGAGCCCTTAAAGCCCAACAATGACCCCAATTATTTACAAGGAAGTGTGAAAGTTTTGAACTTAAATTACGTATTTAGGTCAGAAACAGCTGTGTGATTAGATCAGGTTTGACTAAACTCTTCAGCTCTGCAATACTTTGCTGTGGATCATCTAAACATAGTGCTGAATGTCAGTGAAATTTAGAGTGCAGCTCTTACTATTGTTCAGCATCATACTTAACATTAATACATCTGCTCGTGTGATATAGAATAAAGAGTGTTCCAGCTGAGATATAGTTGTGTTTAAGCTACTGATGCCCATCTCTTAGCAGCAGCCAACACTGTGACACATGGAGGGAGGAATTAGATCAGTAAGACAATTGGAAAAAGGTAGCTAAGTGCTGAGCCCAGGCCCAGGTTTTGACATTCAGCCTAGTTGGAATGGACTAATCAGGAACCCCTTCAGCCATTGGCCTCTGACCTGGGAAACTCTGGGCTAGATTCTTCTGAAGAACTGCCCATCTTCACACTAGGGGCTAAGTAATTCCCAGTGCCTGGTAACTAGCATATACAATACGTAAGTTGTAACCTGAGTGAGAAGTGACAGTGCTAAGGCTCCAGCCAGAGAACTATCTGTTTAATATTCTCCACTCTTCAGGAAGGGGAGGCTTGACTTCAGAAGAATCAAAGGCCTTGAGCTCCAAGCCTCCATTTTCTGCTAGTTGTCACCTTGGAGCTATCCAGGATCCTGAAATTCTAACTTATGCATCTGTCACATCCAGGAGGCTTTCCTCTTGTGGTAAGGTCCAGCCACTCAATTCTACTATTATCAATTTGTCAACTTACTGCAAAAATTGTACAGGAACCTCAGAAAGCAGAACCCGGTGAACCATCCGAGGAGATTCAACATCAGTAAGATCCACGAAGCAGATCTGACCCTTTTTAGTTCCCACTGCAAGAGAGTGAGAGGACTGGCTGCAGGCCATTGCAGTGACCTGGGGAGGGAGCAGATGACTGAGTTTCTTTGTGGTAAGACAATGCATAAAAAGATTTGAGGATAAGTATTCTCATTTTTTCAATATAATTTATTTTTCATAGGGTTTTTAAAAAAGAAGAACCCCTCTAATACTGCACAAAGCATTCCTAGACAATTGTATGCACAAATTTTAAAATTAGGAATGTCTTCTGGGTAGAATGTCAGAGTACTTGCCTAGAAATACCTTGTTTCATTAGGCATTGCATTTTTATTAGGGTTGTGTTCATAGACGTAAACTCAAATTTAGGTAGTTTGCTAGGAGAATCTACTATATTTGTCATTCCCAGGTGTACAAACTTACATGCTTATCTGGCTAACTTCCATATTGTTATTCAAACCAAGATTGATTATGAGCACCTACATGATTGGCATGATTGAAGTATCTAAACCCACCATTTCTCTATTTTATTTATTTATTTATTTATTTATTTATTTATTTATTTATTTAAAACATTTGTATGCCACCCAATTGCATCATGCCACATCTAGGCAGCTCACAATCACATTTAAAAAGACAATAAAAACCAATTACATCACATTAAAAAGAACATCAATAAAATACAGGCAGAGATACAAATCAGATATGACCTGATTCAGCTTGGCTTTAGTCTCTACCTTCTGAAGGAAGCGTAAGGGCACAGTCTTATCCCCACCCTTCTGCAATGTGCTTCCGTTGGCTGGAGCGAGGCATGTTAGTCATGGTCTCTGTTGCTGTTATGCTTTGCTCTATGCATTTTATGTAGGCAGCTGTTTTCATGAAGCAAAGGAGGCAAGGATGCTAACAGAATCAGTGTAGGTAGATGGTTCCAGTCTCCTCCCCTTCCTGTCCCCTGGTAAGCCCTATTCCCCCTTCTGAAGGGAAACTTCCACTCTTGTGAAGTGGGCAGGGCTGGAACTCAATTGCTGCAGTTTGAACCCCAAGACACTGGAATTCCAAAAACCTCTATAACCTCCTAGGCAATGTCTGGAGGCCATAGAATTGTGCCTTAATTGTCTTGTTTGCAACACTCATGAAATGATGTCACCAAACACCTTAGGTTGCCAAATCAATCAGTGTAAAATTACTTCTTGGTCCTTTGACTCAGATCAAGTGCTGTCCTGAGTACAGTTTGAACAAATATGAACATTTCAATACTGTTTGAAGTTAATACCTACTTCTTGACCATTTGTCTCTAGTATAAAAGATATTATTTTTCTTGTTTGGTAAATAAAATTTTACTCAAGCCATGGGTGATGGTGAGTGGCACTGTAAGGTATATTGCAAAGAGAATACAAAGAAGATGTAAAGAGGGAAGGGAGCAGTGCAGCTTGTGAAAGCTGGTGAGGGAGGACGGAATTTGGGCTCATAATTTGACAACCAAACTGTGATTTCTGCTGTTGTACATTTGTCCTCTTAATATTCTATTCTATTCTAAATGCATTTGCCTAAAAATCCTTTTAGAAAACTTTAAAACCATGTAATGTAGAAGAACAAACAATATATAAATATAAAATCATATTATATATTGTTCATTTCATACAAATTCAATATGCCACAGAAATGTTCATTTCTTCTTCCAAACATCACCTTACCAGAGAATTTTCTTACTTGAAATTGCATTTGCATGTGTCAGAATTGTGTGTGTTTCTTCTGGTTCTCTGTAGGGCCAATTGTAAGAAAGGCACATATAAAATACAGATGATGCATCACATTAATTAAAAACTCAAATTCCATTTGTGCATACCAAGGTGTGGAGATTTAATTTACTGATAAAAGCACCTTCATCCAATTGCCAAACATGTACCTCTCCTGATTCAGCTACAGACTGTAAGAAAAAAGGGAGAGGAAGAGATAGGAAAAAACAAATTGGTAGAAAAAGGGGGATTCTCTACAACAGGAATTCAGTGAAGATGATGATGATGATGATGATGATGATTAGAACATTTCTATGCCGCCCCTTGCCGAAGCCTCGGGGCGGCTTACAACACAATACAATAAAATACAATACAATATAAAAATAACAATATAAAATTAAAATTAATAATATAAAATAAATAAAAATATAAACGATATAAAAGAAGTTATAAAAGAAAAGTTATAAAAGAAAAGAAAAGAATGCATGACCCTTCCTTCATGAAAATTTGCAGGGCCTTTTCACAACATCCTCAATCTAAGATCCTTCACTAAGTTTTCCATCCATTTCTGTGGCTTTATTTTAGAGCTCTGAAAGGTATTTTCCTAGAGGGTACCACTATTCATTAAAGAAGCATAGTGCCACTCTATAACAGTGCCACCTTGTGTTATGCAACAGAACATATGGAAAGGCAGATGGGAACCCGCCCGTCCCCGCCTCTAAGCAAGCAAGCTGATAAGAAACATGTTCCAAACCAGCACAAAGAAAATGGAAGAAGTTCTGTTACTAAAGCAATGAGTAGGTGCTACTTAAAAGCAGGCTGAAGACTCAACATATTAGCCACTTTGGTACATCGGTGTGCTCTACTTGCTTTGTACAAGGTTTTGTAAAGGCCAAACAATTGTGATAGCCACAATTCTGGGTGATTAAACAAGAAACTGCTCCACAATCATATAAGGAACTGCAGGGTCCAATTAGAAAGAAAATGTATGTGGAGGTGGGAAGCACAGAGTAGTCATCCCCAGCCTTCCAGTAGACTCATTCCTCAAGTCACTTTTATCTCATTAAGATATCAGGATTTACCCCAACTCTGAGAAAGCATTTAGGGAAAGGGACTTGAAGGTGGCAAAAACCACAGGGGTGGGGGGTAAGTTCTATACCTTTTACCCATCCCCTCCATTTTGCTCACCTATCTCTTTACTCTTTGCTTTTAAAATCAAACCTCAACTTTTCTATATGGTTAGGGCAATTACCAGTCTAAACCCATTGTCTCTAAGATAGCTCACCATTTAGGCATATAATTAGAGGACAACACCTTAGTTGGTGCCATAACTAAAGTGGCAATCTATTCCCATGAAAACTGGCAGAGCTGGTATTGATTTCAAACAGGAGTCTCTGGGGTCCAGCTGTGATGGCAGGATTGAAACCCCAAAGCCTGCTTGTAATCCAGCATGTGGTGCGCCTGTATAAGCAGGTCCAGTATTACAAGAGTTCACTCTAGTTCTCAGGAGTCCTTTATTATTTTGGAGATTTCCATTTTCAGAGGTGCATGCTCTTTAACCCTTAGTGGCTTTAACGTTATACTGCTGATGACTGAGATAAGATACAGTCATGAAACTAGCATAGCTACTAAAGGAACACATATAACAATTCCAACACTCTCCATCTTCTCTATTCAGTCTTGGATTATTGTAGCCCACATTTAACCCTTGGATGGTATTCAGAGTATTTTAGAATAGCTTCCAATGGAAAGAAAATGACAAGATTCTATCTGGGGTGATCAGGGCTGTCCGTGTTTATCATCCTCTTCTTATTCCAGAAGAGGATATAAACATAAAACCACTTATTCTAAAGCATTTACTCCTCAGTAAATGATTTGCTGCCATAATGAATATATGAAGAACATGCATATATGAAGAACATGAACTATAAACTGTAAAGTGGAGAATAAAGTAGAAGCAATACTTCTATAGGGCCACCCTCACACATGACCATTTTTCTACATGAATTTAACTGCTATGTAAGAAAAGATGTGACTCCTGTCACTCACACACATTTCTATCACAGCCCAGACTCTGGAGACTATGTTCTATATGACTCTTCCTTATGGTACTCAAAGTAGAAATGTTAGACTTATGACAAAAATTTCTTCTCTTCCTTCTCCAGCAGCTGAACTGAATGAAGGTGGTTTACTTAGATTCATAGCATTGTTTAGATTAGAATGTTATGCAAAATAAATCAGGTAAAATATTAAAATAATCAAAGTAGGTAAAAGGTTTCAAGTTTTATTTAAAATTGGGATTGCAATAGTCTCTACCAAGCAAGCCTGCAATATAATAATGGCACTATGGACTGTTAGAACTCTGAAAATATTGGTGGGGGTGATATTCTAGCATTTGATAAAAGTGATAATTCCTTACCACACAGTGCTTGGTTCCTGGAACAATAAAATCAGCTCCTACAAACGGGCTTATACTTGCATCCAATAAAAGAGTAACTACTTCAGACTCATTGGGATTAAAAATGCAGACAGAACCCTGTTAAATAGAAATGACAATTTAATGCTGGAAGGAAAAAGAAAGCATTCAATACAGTTCTATATTCTTGATTATTTTCATAAAATATGCTCATCTTTCTCAAATAAATGATCCTGAGAATATTTGAATTCAAAGTGAGTAACACTGCTAGGTAATTGTTTGCCTTCTGGATGCTTGTAGTAGTTTGAAAAACTGGTTGTCACACTACCTAGTTCATCTTTGGAGCACTTGTAATTCCATTGAAATTTGACTACTACTTTGTAATCCTGATTAAGTTCTAGTCTTTCACTGCACGTTGAGAAATGGCTATGCCTCTTTCCTCATAAGAAGTAGGACATATGAAGTACCCAGACATTCAGATCTTCTTTGGAAGTCTTTCTGCAGCAGCCCCTATGAGGGGAAATAGCAGGAGGCTATTAAGGAGATGACCTCTTCAGTGGTAGAACTCTCCTCAGACAAACTTATCTAATGCCCAAATGGTTCTCTTTTGGGCAGCACTTGAAAATCCTCCATGCATTTAAAATATATTCTAGTTCTTAATAACCACAAGGAAATGTGCATGCAGTCTTTCGAAGCTATTCTTTTCTACTTCATGAGGCATCTACTGTGCACTCATCATCCTTCTCTCACCAAAGTTGAGAGATGCCAACTTTACATGACATTGTTATCCTCCAGAGCCTCTCCTGCATTTTGTAACCATTCTTGCAGCTTTAAAGAAAAAGAGGATAATGAGGTGATCAATCTTAAAGGTGCAACAAACTAGAATAAATACTTTTGTAATTCAGCAATAGCTCATGATAACTATACATACTGTATACTGTATAATATTCAATACTGGAGCACAGAGAAGGTAACATTCTGGGGGGTGAGGGAAACCCACATATAAACAATGCTCTCTTTTTCCTTCAAAGAAAATGCAAGAAGCCTCTAGGAGGATTAAACACCTCATGCAAGGAAGCTCAATGTCAGGAATAGCATTACTAAGCTGGGAATAGTGTTAGGAATTCTAAGTCAGGAATAATGTTCGCTGGGACTATTGGATGCCTCAGATGCCCAGACCTAACTGCATCTAGGCTAAAATAAAGCATTTCCTTGTGAAATGTAAATCTGGAAAACCCTTTCGGTTATAGCACCAGAAGTAAAATATGTGCTAAAATGCAACTGTAAAGAACATAAGTAACATAAGTAATCACTGTCTTTGATTTTACTGGTGCTTATGCCCACAAGTAATTTTAGATGTATAAATTAGGAATCAAGAGTAGCAGCACATAATGTATTCTGATCTTGGAGGCCCTCATCTATTCAAAGCCTTGTTGCACGCTTATGAGCAGCATGAAAAGAACAAGAGTTCCTGTTGCTTCCCCTCTGTGGGGTTATTTTCTATTTCAAGGGGCAAGATTCCTCAGAGCTGGTCTAAGTTCTCTTCCATATCAGGGGCATTGTTGGAGGATGAGGATACTATGGCCTCAACAGAACCAATGATTTCTCTTTACTAGCCCATGTGTTCTTTTCTGCCTTCCAAAAAGGCCACTACTGTCCTCCTGTAAGAGAAAGTTGGTGTTCCAATTTTCTTCTCTAAAGTTGGAATGTTATCTATAGCCTTGGAAAAACATGCTGCTACGGCCCATGGTAACACTTGCTCTAAAAGCTTACACCTACTCTCTTAACCTGCTGAATTTCATACCCTGTTCCTCATTGATATTTGTTAGGTATTAAACTTAGAGGAAGTCATCTACCCAGCATCATCTAATAACCATCATCTCCCACATGTACTTCATATCCATTGGATGTTCCCATGTTAGAGTGACTACGGACTTGTTTTATGATGCATGAAAGAATCTCTATCAGTATAAAAGCTAGAAATCACATTTAGTAATATTTTTGTCTTGAACAATATACCTTTTCTGTTTCTACCAATAAGTAAATATAGTCAGGGGAGAATACAAGATTTGTTATGGGCTCGTTCATTTCCAGGCAGTCTTCTGTCTGAAAAGTTGTGCCTTTCAATTTGTAACAACGCACACAACCATCCTGTGGAAAAACATGCATATCAAAAACAGCATAATTACTAGTAGGCATCCACAACAACCACTTATTTTCTTAAAATGTCACTTGGAACCAAACTAGATGAGATGCTGGATAGCAGTAAGTCTCTCTTCTAGATTTTAAAAACTGCTTTTCAAAAGCAGGGTTATATATGGGAGCACTGATAAGTGGAATGAGTTCAGGACTATGATAATCCTAATCCAGTTTTCCTTATACTGTATGTCTTCTTTTAGGGAGGCAAAATACACCTTTGTCTGATGTCTTTGCATATAAAAAACATTCTGTTCCTCCATATTCTGTTCTCACAGTAGCTTCTTGTCCATGATACAGTCTATAGATCAGGGCAATTAAGTGGTGAGGTAGGTATGCCCATTTCTTCCAGAACCATCTATAGCTTCTTGTGATACTAAATAGCAATGTAAGTGAAAAAGTTAACCCCTTCCATCCACCAGGGCTGGAACCCGATCCAATTAGATCCTCACTCTAAGGTTTAAAAGGAAAGGAAAGGAAAGGAAAGGAAAGGGATAGATCCAGTGTCTCATCTGGCTTGGCTCTTACAAAGCCAAGCTTCTGGGCATGCATTTGGTGCAACTCCAGAATTGCATTATTGGAACTCCAAACCATCTCTGCTTTTAAAAGGAAGATATCTTGCTTGTTGACCAGTGAAATAATAAAGCTTTCTGATGGAGGGGAAGAATGAACCTCATGCTTTGCATGGTATGACTACTATTCCTTTGAAAATGTTTCACATAAAGGTACATTACACAAACTTGTGCAGAGAACAGTGTCATGGGTCATGATTTCTCCCAGCTAAATAAAAATTAAGGTGTCTTTTCTGTATGGTGCTTGTTCCTTATTTATTTATTTGTGGCTTTTATAAATTGTTTGATAAGAACAGCTGTCTCAACAGTGCACAGATTAAAAACAATCTAAAAACATAAAACATACAGTATGTTCAGAGCCATGAACAGGAATCATGTATCATGTGCATTCAATATTGCTGGATGTCCCCATTGTAGGACTGATTTCGTTACTTCTGAAATTGTGTGTTGGTCTGACAAAAATGTTGTTAATGTGTTCTGCCTCCCCTGTGCCCATCCTTTATGGACCTTAATGCAATGCTTCTGGGGTTTGTTAAACTGCAATATCCCGTAAGACTGAAATCACTAAGGTGTGGTTTAAGTTCTGACTAAAAACATAACTTAAACACCAGAATCAGTTTGCAATTCTGGTTTGTGCTTTCCATTAATTTTCCATATTATATTTCTTCCACAGGACAAGGAACAGCCCCACTTGATCTTTATGAGTCTGCCCTGTTCACGTATAAATATGGGATCTGGACATTTAGTTGTATATAGTAACCCTCCCCCCCCCCCCCATTTTAGTATTAGTTTAGAAAGCCAAACAACTTGGGACCAGGATACCTGAAAGGGCACCTTCTCTCTTTCCAGTTCATTGGATGGCACATTCCTGGTGGTTCCATATGGATCTATGACCCAGTTGGCATTCACTCAAAGAAAAGCCTCCAGTGTGGTGCCTCCATTTCTCTGGGAAAACCTGCCTTTTTGGTGCCTCTTGAAAACACTTTTGTTGCATGAAACTTTCCTGAATTAACCAGCCAATGTTTTATTGACTTAGTCTTTGACATGTTTAATTCCTTTACCAGTTTATCTTCTATTTTTCACCACTCTGGAATCTTCCAAAATACAGGGGTACATAAATTTTGCGGAATTAATTAAATTTGTTAATTTAACTACTGAAATTATGTATGTATGGTACCTGAATTTGCTTTCTTTGTTCTTTCCTCCCCATTCCTTTTTTCATTTGTACCATACATATATGCCTGTGGGCAAAGATGCTTACCTTTTTAATTCCTGTACCATACTCATACTTAGAAAATGTTAGGAGTACTGCCACTACTGCCATCACAAACACATTATGAGAAAATAAGCAAAACCACACATTAGATTTATTGCCATGATTTCGACAGACCACAAAATTGATACTCCATGCAGTGCTGGCTGTATCCCAGGCTTCACAGTGTGCACTGACCCAACAGGATACCAGGTGAAGCCACCCTTTGGCAGGTACTGGGGAGAATGAGCACTCCTGCCAGCACTGCCCATATCTCAGATGGGATATTACTGCTGAGTGGACCCAAGAGGCTGGATATGGAGATGTTGCAGACGAGGGGCTCAAAATCTGGCTTGTCCTGGCAAGTCATCATAATTTATTTTAAAGCAAAGTGTATATTCCTGACTCTGTATATAGTTACTTTTTTGTTTACTCTTGGTTTCTCTTTGTGACACATGATAATCTGAAAGAGATGGGCTTGTTCAACAGGGGTTTGGAGTACAGAGGATACTGCCCTGGAGATTAGACTAGGGGACCTTCCAGTATATCCAGCAATACGATTATGTCTACTGCAAAGTTAGCCATGTGTGAAATCAAATTCCTCCTCTGATTGCTTAGTATTTACAGCCCTAGACAAGAGGTTCTTTGAATGCTTGGCATCTTTATTCCCAGAGTTACACACTGGGGTCTCTAAAATATTTTTCTTGCAAGTGTTTGGGCCTGGGATTTATTTATCTCAAAGGAACGTGTCAGTTAACTAACACAAGAGCTATGCTGTGGGGACCTGGAAATGACATCTTGAGCTCATTGAAAATACAGCCTGGTTTCTGTGGAAGGGAATGCAATGGTAAAAATTCAGTGTGTGGCAGTACTCTTCTATACTTGCTCCACAGACCTGTGGTCAAGCAGCAGCTGTAAGACTCTACTGAATGACGACTTACATTTCCACCTGCGTAGAGTCCATCCTTATGAAGTGCCATGGCAAGCAGGACCACATTTAGAGCTTCCCTCCTTCCTTCTGCTATGTAAAGTATTTACAAAATATGAGTCTTTTGAACATTATCACTTGGATTTCATAGACTCTAAAATGAATGGCTAGCATGCGCAAGGCAGTGATGCCACAGAGTGATGTGGCACAATCAGAAATTGTATTTATATTGTTTGCATTCATATGGAAAGGTGTATCTAAGCCTTTATTGTGCCTATGTACCACTCAGGATAGATCACAATGATTTAAAACCAGAGCATAATATAAAATATGTATACATTCAATAAAATGCAAGGGTGACCAGTAGCAGATACCATAAACAAAAGAATGTCAAACAAAACAAGCAAGTAGCAAATAAAAGCCAGTAGGCATAGAAATGTCTTAACTCAACTGGTGAAAGGCTTTGAGAGTATGGGTGCATTGTACTACACTGGGAAAGTGGTCCCTAAATATTGGAGTCAATAATTAGTTTATTTACTTCTAGATAACAATGTACATTCCTGTCGTGCACTCTGCCTTTCTCACACAGAGGGGGAAATAGCTCCTGCTTATAGCACTATCGGTCAGTTGCAGCTAATTTTAAAGGTATCATAAAACCTCTGCAGGGTACAAACACATCTGGCAGCTGTTGTTTATTTATTTATTTGCTTTTTGTTTTGGTTGTCCAGTTATACTGGCAGTGCTGGGGATTGGGACAGTTTGATGAAAATACCAGGTCCCACATCACTTTCCTGTTTCATATAGGTCTCTGAGCCCTTGTGCTCTGCCAGAGAACAATCTACAAGAAGAATACTATTATAATCCTCCGAAGTGGCAGATGCTTTTCTGCAAAGGCAATTAGTGTTAAAAGTAAATACCTTCTGCTTTCCTGGAACTGTGTGATAACGATCGAAAAGTTGCTCGCTTTTTTGCTGGAAAAGAAGTGAAAAAATGTCATTTGTGGCCAATATAATGTATTGACAACTCCGCTAGGGCCAGTTTCAATGTAAATTAAGAGAAAGTAGTACTCCACATTATACCAATCTACTTGTAGCTGTAAAGCAAACTCATATAATGTACTGAATGCACCGCTTTACTGAAATCCATTTTGCCACTTCAGACACTGAAGATTACGATGATCCACTGCACATGGCAGGGTACCAGTCTGGAGACTCCATATACCTAGCCTTACTTGCATATTGAAAGGAATGCATGACTGAGGAGAGCCAATGTGGTGTATTATTGTTGTTTACCACCCAAGAGCTTTAGTTACTGAGTTCCGCAGAAAATAAACAAACCTAATGCAAAGAAGAAGTTGAAGAGGCGATCTCCACTCTGCCTCCAGTTCTGGAATTCAGTTAGATGGCCAGTTTTAACCATCTAGCTATGATGTCTCAGATAGGGAGAGAAAGAAGATGGAGCACTCTCAGGGTAACTCATATCTTGGTGATCCGATCTCCTTCCATTCCCACTTCTATTGATGACTCTTCCTGATCAATTTTTCAACTTTAGGGAAGCCATTAACATGGTTTTCTCACCAGCTTGAGGGAGAGGGGTTGGGGACGGGGACTGGAGCACAGAGCCCTAGCTTAGTAGTCAGATGTCTGACTCTGACCTCAGATCAAGAAATCATTCAATCACATATTTAGGCAATGTCCAATAATTCACAATAAAAATAAATAGAAGGGAAAGAAAAAAAGGGAGGAAGGGAGGGAGGGAGGGAGGAAGGGAATTTCTGCCTTTGACATGCATGTCTTGCAAATAAACAGACCTATATATATTTGCAACTCAGTTTGAGGATCAAGTGAAATGCTCACGTTTAGGTCATCTAGGAAAAGAATTACATGAGGTCTTAACAACAAGAGGCAGTGGTCTACCCAGCTTTGTGAACTATGTCTTATTTCCAAGGATTTTTAAAGAATGGGACAAACTTTGGCTTCAATCTGATTCTTACCTTTAGCATCTGGTGAAAGTTTTTGATTGACAATAACGGCTTTGAATGTGTCTGCACCAATTTTCAAAAAATATCCTTCTTCACAGCCCATATACAGATCAGAGGTTGGTGTCCAGCAGTGGACGGTAGGGTGAACACAAGGCTGAATATCATCTTTAGGCTTCAGTTTTAAAAAATCAAATCAGTTATACAGAAACTGCAAGCTAACATCAATAGTATTTCTCAACCTGATTTTTTATTTAGAATTTGATAAGGAACTGTACACAATATAAACATTTATCTGGGCAACTGGCAGTACATTTACATATAGTTTTAAAGCCAGGAGTAATTATCTGTAGGATTGTAGAACTAAAGGGAAGCATTTGGGTGTTACATTACTCTTAACCACTACTGAGTTTTCTAGCATGTCATTTAGAAATGGGCCCATAAAAGCAGGAGTAACTCCAGTTTTAAAGAGGACCTAAAGCAGCTTAGACGGTCAGAACTGATGAACGTACTTGCAAAAGTTTCCAACTGCACTGGAGATGGTCAGTTGGCATGAATGATCGGATACTGACAGCATTCATAAGTTTTCTTTAACTTTTCTTTCCCCTTGAGGAAACACCTGTCAATCCAGGCAGTTTTTTCAGGCAGCCAGCAGTTAGAAAAAGAAAATGGCTAACATCCCAATGACTAAGAATGTATACATTATACTTTCAAAACTGACTGCAATTACCCACATTTTGTTGCAAAAAGTGCTCACTATTCTCTGCCAAACTGTATTAGCGGTTAGGTAACAAATTGTGTTGCCTTATATCAATGCCATTACAATGTGGCAGTTGTTTACTATAAACGCAACTAACCTTAAATGTTTCTGCTTCATCGCCTACCAGGCCAGCAATGGCTGAATTGGGCAGCAAAGGGCCAAAATAAGGATCACTGACATTAGGATGGGAGAAGAAGCTGTTTTCCTCATTCATTAAAGATCCATCTTCAGCAGGAAGCCTGACTGGCCTGAAGCAATGAAAGGAAATGGCATGGAAGGAGAGGGGTTTAGAAAAACAAGAAATACAAGAAAGTTGGCTTCCAAAGCCAGGGAAAAATTAGGGTGGCTTTATGTTATTTTTAGAGCATGCCTTCATACTATGCAAAGAACAGTTTCCCCCATATATTTTCCACTATGAGCCACGGATTATGCAGTTTCGTAGCACCATAATACAGAGACTGCCATCGTCAAAACATGCTCTACATTTCATAGATAGCAAAGTACTCTGAAAGACTTGCATAAAAGAGTTGGGATAAAAATAAACTTCTTCCATGTAAAAAACAAAATCATACGAAACCCAACAAGTTGTTAAAGCTGTTACTTACTTTGACTTCAAAATGTGCTCTTCATTATTCCTTTCAATATTCCAAAGAGTAACAGAGGTCCCATTACACATACACAACTGGTGCCAGCTCATGGGATTAAAACTCATTGCAGATACTTCCATCCCTGGCAGTGACTGACTGCATAAAAGCACTTTCTCGTGCCAGTTCCTAATCAAAAATGAAACAAAACAATTTGGTGTTAAACTTTTTAATGTTCTGCCAGTTTTTAGTCTGTCTCCCCAAAAATCTTCAGGCAGCTTAAAACAAATCATACGTAATACAATCTATAGATGCAACAAAACCCAACAATCAGATAAAAATCCTGCAGCAATGTATTAACTGAAAATAAGTCAAGCAGCAAACAAGGATCAATTAAGGACCAAAACATCTGCTAGAACTGATGTGATTCATTTTACAAGTTTTTCTAAAAATTATAGAAATTGAGCTGATATGCCACCTGAAGCAATTCGTTTCAGAATTTCATAGCTATAGCTGAAAAAAAGCCAAAGTATTAATTTAATGAACTGGCAATTCTTATCTGAAGATAGAAGACTGTTAGCTATGTTTGTGGACAGTGAATAAATGAGGTATCATTTACACTTGCAAGGGTTTTTTAAAGATTTCAGTTGTACTAATTTGATTTGCAATTTTCAGGTAAAAGATCAATTAGAAGGCAGTCAGAATAAGTGTAGAAAAAGGCCATAGTCACACAATGCAGTACTGCAAAATTCTTCAGAAACCTGGCTTAGCCTTAATAAGCAGTCAGTGCTGCCCAATCACTCCCTCTTGGCTTCTCCTGGAAATGGGAGTAGTTCAGCCAACCAGGAACATATTAATGAAGAAAAACTCAAGAGTTGCCATGTCATGTTTCTCTTCTTGCATCTCCAACAAGCCTGGATCTGGAAGCCACTTGAAAAACTCACTTCAAACTCTTGTCTTGTTGGTGGAGTTACAGGGTGGAAGACTTCCTTCAGTGTAACTATAAGTGTTTCCAATCTGGTAATTTCCTGATCAGTTTAACTCATTTTATTTGCATTAGGAGACAAGTGGGTGCCATCGGGCAGTGTACATGAGCACACTTGCTCATGAATGATATGCCAGGATTCTGAGTATTTTGGCTTAGCGTTTTGTATGACTTTATGTGTGCATGCTACATGTCTGCATATAAGTATGTGTTAATAGGTGCTGGTGGGCTTTATATACGCAATGAAGAAACGTTATTTGGTCTGAAGTGCAAAACTAGCTACCAAGAGCTAGGAACCCATTTTAAGACACAGGAAGAAACATACCCCTGTCCATATAAAAGCATGTCCAACACTTACCATATTGAAAGTGAAAATTCTGGAAGTGAAGAATAACTGGCCAGGTAAGGACTTGCATAACTGAATGCAAGCAAGGAATAGTCCAGGCTGGCTTGTCCTAGAATATAAAGTAGCATGGATTTCATATCTCTGCATGCTTCACACTATAAACTGGGTGTTTTACTTCATCCCCTATCGTATCGTTATGCTAAGAAGTCTCATTATCTTTTATTTGAACATCATTATTACAGTGGACACATCTATTTCAACTGTTCCCACTGTAGTGGAGTTGGACGGATAGTGGCTGGCAGTCCAACAAATGCAAAGGCCTAAAGACTGCTTCTGCTTCTCCAGACAAATAATGAAATGGATCTCCCACATCACATCTTATGTAGTCTAAAATCCTTACTTACTTTTTAAATAATTAGCAATATTAGTGAATAAAATACTTGAAAATAAAAAATGAATAGGAACAAACACAAAACTGTGTATATTTCCAAGATTGTCCACTGAAAGTATTGGGCATCCCTGAGAATGGATTTATTCCTCCAGCATGGCTCCACATCAGTTTCACACTTTTAAAATGGTGGATGGCACCTCAGGGAGGAGAGACAGTGACCTTGTGAGGTCCAAAAGAACATATGATTTGGAATTTGTTTGAGGTCGCAGGCAGGAAGAGATGGACAATTTTAAGATTGTCTCAATTTTAAGAGAGGTTACATTTATGGCACCTAGAAAATAAAGATATTTCAAATGGATTAATAAAAGATTATAATCCTATTTTCAAGATATTAAGGAATCATTGTCAGAGCTCCATTCTAAAATTACAATCTACCCATTTACCAGGGGACTCAGTGGGGCTTCCTTTTGAGTAGCTACACATAAGGCTGTGAGGTAAATGCATTTATTCAAGATACCGTTATCATTTATTGAACAGTATCATAATGGGATGATTTCAGAAAATCTTACTTCACATTAAATTCCTTCTCATTCAGAAATTTTCAAAGTCAGTATCCCTCCTTGAATAAGAAGAATTATTCAAACTTTTTGCACATGGCATAAAACACAGGGCCAAGTCTGTTAATGAGAAGTCTCATTGTGGTTAATTTCATGATATGTTTCAGTGAAGAAAGATCTTGATCGGGTGGTGATTTCTTAAAACATTTCTATTCTACTACCACATGGTCTCCAGGAAGCTTACAAAGATAATAATCAATAACAAAGCATAAGAGTTAATTGAAATGACAGTCCATAAAAAAATAAACCCATAAAAACAAAAGAACAGTGATATCAAAAACCGGACATGCGGTGAACTCCTTTGCATGTTTATTTATTTATTTATTTAGAAAATTTCTAGGCCACCCCATTTGCCAAAGCCTCGGGGCAGCTTACAAATAAATAAATTAAAATACATAAATAGCAATATAAAATACACATAACTGTATAAAATAAGTCGCCCTGGTTTATTCAGAGTTAAGTTGCATATAATTTATTAGAAGCGTACAAGGGGATAACTAGTTGTTTCCTCTCTCATAATTGTGCTGAGGATTGCAACATTAAACCAGTATCTGCCATCTTTGCTAAAATTAAAAGATCATCTCTACTTTTGGGAGGATGAGGTTAGAGCTCGCCTGGGAGGCTTCCTGAGAGAGGGTGTCCACAGATAAAGAAAGTGCAGCTACTGAGGAAATTCTGTGCGTCGTCTGGCAAAGAGGGGACAGAAAGAAAACCCTCTTCTTAGAATCTCAATGTGCAGGAGACTAGTAAGAAAGCAAGCATTTCCTTAAGCAGCCTACATCATGACACTTGGAATATGGCTTGAAGCCAGTGCAGTCATTTAACAGTGCAATGAGCTATATGCTTGAACCCTTTCCTGAAACTAAACAGACACTGCATTTTTAAACAAAATTGAAGATTTCAAACAGTTTTTTTTTATAAAGACTGCACAACACATACCACTCACAGCATTTTACACGACCCCATAATGATAACCAAAGTATGTACGGCATTGTCCAGGTTATATTTGCTATTTATTTATTTATGGAAGCGGACTTAACTGGTCTCTCATACTGCCTTCCATCTTGCTCCATTTTCACTGAATTCACAAAACAAGTCTCTGCAGACTTCACACTGGGCTTATTGAGGAACATATTTGAACTGAAAAAAGTTTGGTCCCATTGTATAATTATTTGGGGCTATCATTCCCACATCTTTCATATTCATTTTATTTAGATTATAATCCTAAACATGCTAGGAATTATAGGTCTTTTTCTGTCTATATGTGTAAGGAATTGCACTTTTAGAAACAAATGTATATATCCCCATAAAAGAATAAATTTAGGCAAGGCAAACATTTATGAGATTGCTAAGGAATAAAGCAGCACAAGATTATGAACACTGATCCTAGATCTCTTCTCTACATATTTTTTTCAAGTTTTTACCAAATCCCATAAAGCAAGTTTTAATTTCAAGATGGCTTTGGCTAAACATGTGTATACCCTCAGAGATACCTTTTAATTTGGCCACTTTCTTTAGTCCTGGAAAACTGTAGATACAGATTGCAGGAGTCAGCTGCCGGTCAGAAAAGGCAACAACATTCTGGTTTGCATTCACTGCAAAGGCTCCTATACTTCCATGCCGACACCGTAAGAATGACCTCTCCTGCGTGTCGATGTTAATAAAAATGATGTAATTGCCACAAGGATAACAGACTGTCCTGCTGTTGACAAAGCCAATGTTTCTGTTGCTGAATCCTTGCACCCATCTTGGGAAGAAAAAAAAGGTTAGGGTTACACTACATTTTAAAAGCGATAGGATTATTTTTCAGCATAGAGTACTAGATGATATAGAACAAAATTTCCACTAAACAAATCCATGGCAGCTTGTTCTCTGTGATAACACACCAAACATTTAGAAAAGAGGTTGATAATTGATGCACTAATGCCTATCCTCAATTTATATTGAAAGAAAGAAAGACAGATAGATAGAAAGAAAGAGTTCTTTTTAGCCTTTAATAATAAATTTGCTTCAACAGCAACATTGTGATAATGATGGCATGCCTCTGTGAATGAAAAACAATGTAATAGAAGGTGGGAAAGTCCAAGACTACCTTTGTTGTTATCAACACTTAGTAACATTTGACACTTACTGTATATTCCTGTTTAGCACAACTTAGTTACCATTCAGAGATAGTAAAATGTGTAACCAACTAGATACATCAAAAGCCAACACACATAGGACCTTCTTGATACATGTATACCTCAGGCTGATAAAGGGCCATCACACACATGCATTTCTACTTGATTTGATTTGTAGATCGAGGGATTCTTTCTGCATCTATTATGAATGGCTGGAAGGGCAGTCCTTTGTGAAATCTAGAATTCTGACCTGAGTGATACTGATTCTGGATTGACCAAAGAGAGGCCAAAAAAATCATAATAATGGGAAATGCTCTGGGGAGATTGATGGAATCTTTTCAATATCTGCCCTTTGGAACACATACTTTACCCTCCCTTACTGCAAATGGATGGGCTTCAGCAGCTTGAGAAGGCTAGGAAAATGTGCATAGGATAAGCAGACTTATGATGGAGAAGTAAGCAGTGGTGTAGCTAGGCTGGATCTCAAGGTCAAACTCCAGTACCCCTGATGCCCAACAGCCCTCCAAATGGCCACCCAGAAAATGGTAGGTGATGGGGGAAGCAGCAGGCAGGATTTGCATAAGTGTCTGGAGCAGGAGCTGATGCTAGTGGTTACTGAGGCACTGCTTCCTTATTTTTTCTTTCTTTTTTCATAAGTCAGTACCATGTGGCCCGACATGCATAAGGTTACTGATACACATTTAAAAAAAAAAATGTTTACTTTAAAAATGGGGGAGGGGTAGTAAAAAAGCTGATTTCTCAGTAATCATGTTCAGTTTTAGTGCTGCAAAACAGACTCTCATTTTATTTCTGCAGCCATGGTGGTACATGTAATCAGTTACAGTGAGAATCTGCATATGTTCAGAGGTGCTCTTTTTGTGCCAAGGTAGGCGATCAATTTTGAGGTGTTATACTCTAACGTATCAGGAATGTAGAAGCAGTTGTAAAATCACGGAATCCCGGGTGACGGCGGAACAGACAGGCGCTAAGTGATGAGCCTCGCAACTTAAGTAACATACGCAACAATCTACAAGGGGCCGTGCGTGTCGACCTTATGTCTAAGGTCTACAGTCCCCTAGAGGCAGCACTAGGAAGGCGCTTGGAGAAAGTGGCAGTAGTAAACATCAGGCAGCCCCGCCGCCCCCAGCCCCTTCGCACCTCACTTCCAATTCAGATTTATGCATAGGAGATACTGGGCGGCGAACGCCCCCCTTCCCTACGTCCAGGGTGCCCGCCATGATGCCGGATCCTCCTCCGTTTACACCGGTCTCCTAGCAACACGTGGCAGCGCCAGCCATTGGCTAGAATGAAACTAAGTTGTTCCGCCTTCTCTTCCCTTCTTTGGTGTTTCAGGTCACGTGCGCTAAGCAGGAGGGCGGGGCTGTTTTGAAAGCTAATCCTAGAGCGGCAACTTCTGCGTTCTGTCCAGGCTTTCTCTTGCCCGCTTCTTTCTTTGCGTAACGGCCGCTGCTGGAGGGAGACAGGCGTCTTCCATAAAGGCACCGTAAAGTTTTCTTAGTACGAAAAATGGGGATATAAAATTCAATAAAACGAAATAAAATTTGCATCCCCAGATGAAGCTGCACACTTAAAGGGAAGCCCCCACTGAGCTCAGTGGAACTTAACCCTATAGGATGAGGACAGCCGCAAACGTGTTTCTGTGACAATTCAGGCTGCAGGCTCAGTCATACTCCTCTAGCACTAAACACCCTTGAACTCTATGGGCTTCCTTCTGAGTAGACAGAGGCGGGTTTGCACATTTACATAGGCTTTTCCTTTGCCGACCACGCAAGCCTGAGAGGTTGTTTACTGTTTCCCTTATACCGATAAGAAACGCGATCTGAATAACATACAATGAGTCCTTATCTGGCAGTGAGATCCCATCAGAGATGTTGGTGTGCTGACAATGCACAGATTGCATGCTCAAAGAACCATTCTATCAGTTTATTGTTCAGCTGTTTATTTTATTTCTCAGTTCTGCGTAGGCAGCACATTTTGCTTCCAGGTGGTTTTTTGTTGCAGAGAAAATTAAATTTGTCCTGCAATAGTGCATTTATTGCTAGTAAAATTGCCGTATGGAATGGAATTCTACTAGTATCACATACATTCATGGGATATGTATAAATGTAATTATTAGTGACAAGCAATACAATTTGTTCATTCCCCCACCGTTACCATAAAATTTGCAAAGCTTTTGAAAGTACTAGTATAAAACAGCAACCATTTCCCCAACATACAGCTGCATTATAGAAGCATCCATCTAGCCTTCTCAAAAGTAGGAAAAGTCAAGTCCCTTTACAGCAAGTATGGGAAATTTCCAGACTGGATGAAGATTGGAACTGAACCTGGAAACGTTTCTAGAAACAAAGGCATGGATCTGGGTCAATGTTTCTATAAAAGCATGCAAGGTTTATTTAGACAGACTATGCCCAGAGGGTAGAGGGTTAAACAGATCCAAGCAATCATCTGCCTGAAAACTAAGTTCTGAAAGCTTATACGTGATTTCTACTCATGCTTGTGCAATACAGATATGTTGCTAAGAGAAAAACAGAAGATCTCTCCTGCCGCCACCATCCCTGACCTTAGTTCAAACAGTTTGTCTATTCTCTGTAACATATCTCGTTCTTTATTTTGGTTGCCTCAGACCTTGAAGCCATCTGCTGCTTCATCATGTGCCCCATCCAGCCAGGGGGCTTTCACTGAGGCTCTGCCCTTCACAGTAGGAATAACAAACCTCATGGTTATTTTTTCATCACTGATTGGATTTCCTTCTACCTTGTTCCCTCCTCCTCATCCTCTGGCACTTTTCTCATAAACCTCTTCCCTTCCTGAGCATGGGAATGTTCCTTCCTCTGTCAAAGGATGACCTTTTCAAGAGGCAGCTCTAGTACTCATTCTTGGCCTGGTTCCTTCTTGTTCTCTTATCTAGTAGTTCTCCAGCTCCACACACACAAGTTTTCTCTTTAATCCTGCATTTTTAAGAACAAAGGAGACACTATCTTCTCCAACAAGCACATGCCACTTCTAAGCTTCCACTCCTTATTTATTTCTGGCATGCTAGAAACAATATAAATGCAATCAGACCACAACCAGGGTTTACTTTTGACTCTTCATTGATGGTTGAGATCAAAGCTTCATGCAATTGTGCAGACACTTAAAATCAGTCTCTTCATACAAGTGGGAATAGCATCGATTTCATGGCATCACCAAAGGCACTGAATGTGTGATTCCAATCCCCGAAGAAAGTAACACAGCACTTTTGTCAAATACTAACAAAAGGATCCAATCATACACATGAGTTGCAGGCCTCTTTTTCTGTCTAAACATGCATGAGATTGCATCCTAAGGAGGCTTTGGTGCTAAAACAACCTTTCACTGTTTTTGTGCAGTTAGGTCACAATTCTGTATACGTTTAGACGGATAAAAGTCCTACATTTCCCAGCATTCTTGAGCTAGTCCTGCTGGTTGGAGAATGCTGGGAGTCTCTGCACATTTTTTAATCTAAACATGCATAAGATGGAGCGTTTCTTCCACCTATACATTTACATAGCAGCTGAAACTCGCAGCCCCAGGCTTGCCCGAGCTGACGCTCTCCGGATATGCTGTAATTTGGCTGGGAGTTATGGGAGTTGTAGGCTTCATGCCTCGCAGTCGGAATCTAAGTACATTTAAGGCAGGGTTGTTGAGTCCTATCTGCGTCCAGCGGGGGTTTCAGACGCGGGACGTAATGCAAGCATTGAGGCTTGCTACTTCAAGTCTTCGGCACTTTCTTTTTTTCCCTGCCCGCGGCCGCCGCTCGCTTTAATATCGCTGTTAAGCATCAAAAGGTTGCATAATCATCAAAAGGGAGGAGCCAGTCCACATTGAGGCTTCTGGAGATCAGCGAGAGGGGGAAAAGCGTTGTACAAAGCTCTCGGAGAGTTAGTGGGTGTTTGGCTGCTTTGTACGGCAGGAATTATGCCTGGGAAATTCGTTCGAAGCTTAGGAAAAGGTGAGAGCCCCGGGTCCAGGGAGGTTGTCTGTAGAGAGCATTTATAATATAAATTTTATATTGTGGGTTTGATGCTGGCTCGTGCTACTTCCTTCTTTTTTGGCCCTAGCAAAAGCTGCTGTGCTCTTTTCTCTCTGTTCCTCTTTGCTTAGGAAGGGGAGCGGTGAATGTGGGGCAGAGAATGTTGAACTGCATTTCCCATCAGCTCTACTCAGTATAGCTAATGACGTGGGATAATGGAAATTGCAGTGGCACAACTTGTCGGCCCTGTGCTGCTCAGTTTATTAAGCACAGTGTTTGTCTTGTGGAAAAGTTTGCAGTAATTGTGATGTCTCCAAAGTTTATTTAAATGCATGTTAAATGCATTTTGATGCATCCTGAATCCTTTTGGGAAGTGCTACCATTTTGAATATGGGATCCCTACTCATGTTTGGACATGACAACCCGTGTGGGGGTTGGATATGCAACGTGACATTTGCCACATAAACTGCACCGTGCCCTTGAGACCGGGTCGCTTTCCATCCCTGGTTCACAATCCCATGTGAATGAAGGTGATGGCACTCCAGGTGCTTGCCAGGTAAGGGAACGAGTGCTATAGGCCTAAAGGTATTCTGGCCAGTCTGGGTTTTACTGTGCAGTCCTGTATCTGTCTCCTCAAGGCTAAGTCCTGCTGACTTCAGGAGAAGAGACATGCAGGTAAGTGGATGCAGGATTACAGCCTTATTATTATTATTAATCTCATTTCTGAACTGCCCAATAGCTGAAGCTCTCTGGGTGCTTACAGTGCCCTAATATATGAACAACATAACATTTCAGAGAACCACCTACCGACGAACTAATTCTAAAAAAGATCTTGGACTGTGCTGAAATGGACAGATTGACTTTGTCTCTGAAGGAGAAAGAGGATACATACTTCTATCAAACTTGGAATTCTTTTTATTATTGGCTAGAGAAATGGGACTATGCATAGACTTAAATATGTTTATAGATTACCATTAAAAGTATGGGGGACTGACCCAGTAGGTCTGATGTTTCTGATGATTGATGATTTTAGTTTCTTTTTTTTTGTTAGTTAGTAGAAAATAATAATAAAACTTACTTTTTAAAAAAACCATAACATTTCAGTACACAAAAAGTTTATATTGGTGGTAGGATTACTCTGAATTAAGTAGTTTGCCATTCATGTGCTCCTTCTCCTTCCCCTGCAGTTCAAACTAAGAAGGATGTTGTCATTGTGAAATGCCTATCAGATATAGACTAGTTAGTTTTTCGGAAAGTTCCTTTCCCCCTTTTTCCTCTGCTTTGCACTGCCTCCTTGCCCATTTAATGGACGGCTCGTTTCTGTTCAGGGGAAGGCAATAACTCAGTTCTGACCAGAACAACCAGTGTGGTTCTGCTTGTCTTGCAGGGAGTCCTGCTCCAGGGCCTGTGCCGGAGGGGGTGATTCGCCTCTACAGCATGCACTTCTGCCCCTTTGCACAGAGAACACGTCTTGTCCTGATAGCCAAAGGGATCAAGTAAGATCGGATGCTCTGGGGTCCTCATTTTATGGACTGTCATGTTCTGTGCTGTGAACCAATGAAAAAAAAAAGAACCCTGAACTTGCTCAGTTGAAAATGGTGGCTGCCATGTACTGAGCAGTAGAGCTAGGAATGGCACGCTGCCTGCCTTCTCAAATAGTAATGTTACATTATTTTCATTTTATAGATGTAGACTGCCCAGGCAGAGAGCTTTGGCTGTGGGACGGTATAGAAACGAAATAATTTTTCAGTGAGCTCCCTTGTTTAATGATGAATCACAATGTAGAAAACGATGCTTTGAGCAGGCCAGACAAAACTATGCTGGCACATAAGATTTATTAGCTGAATAAACACTTGAACTTTTTTCCTTAATTGAGTTGTATTAGCAATTTTATCTCCAAGGTTCTATTTAAAAAAACAATTCACTCAACTGCAAATCCTTTCTTCTCCCTCACCACCTCAATCATTTATGGAGATGGGCAGTGCAATATGCTTGCCTATCTGGTATCATTTATACATTTATATATTTATTTTATTTTTTAAACAACCCAAAGCAGCTTACATAATTCTCCTCCTCCTGCTCTCATCCCTCCAATAACAACCCTGTGAGGTAGGTTGATCCAGTTCCTGAGGATTTTGGACTTGTGTAAGCAATCTTTAAAAGCCTTTTGAATAAAGTATATGGCCAGAAGCTGTTAGACACCTCTTAGAAATTTGTGCGACTGTTACAGAGTCTCTCAGTAGGAAATTGCTGGCAAAAGTAACCCTGTTGTGTAATTCCATCTCATACATTTTAGTCATGAAATTGTTAACATCAACTTGAAAAATAAGCCAGAGTGGTTTTTTGAGAAAAACCCATTTGGATTGATACCTGTGCTGGAGACGAGCAAGGGTCAGCTGATCTATGACTCCCCAATCACTTGTGAGTATTTGGATGAAGCTTACCCAGGGAAGAAGCTGTATCCTACAGACCCTTATGAAAAAGCTTATCAGAAGATGCTCTTGGAACATTTCTCTAAGGTAGGCACTGAAGGTCATCCGCAAGAGCATTCAGACAAGGTTGGTGGTTGGTCCGTCTGACTGGATGGAGAGTATTCAGCCTGTTCCAGATGGGGTTGCACTCCTTCTGAAGGATCGTGTTCATCGCTTGGGACACTTCTTGATCCATCTTTGTCACTCGAGGCTCAGGTGGCTTAGGGTGGCTTCTGCCAGCTTTGGCTGTGGCCCAGCCATGCCACTATCTGGACGGAGATTCAGTAATCTACGCTCTGGTAATCTCAACTAGATGACTAGGATGAACTCTACATAGGGCTGCCTTTGACGCCTGTTCAGAAGCTGTAGCAAAGTATGACAGACAGATTGAACAACTGGGACCTGCAGGTACAAATGCAGAAGACCAGTTCTGGCCAGCTTGGATTGGCTGCTTGTATGCCTTTGGGGCCAATTCAAGGTGTTGGTTTTAACTTACGAAGCCTTATACGGCTTGGGGCCACAGTCCCTGCAAGAGTGCCTCTCCCAACCACAATCTACCCAAGGTGCTGTCCTGAGCATTTGAGGCTGAGCTCTGAGTGCTGACTCTGAGGGCAGCTTGAGATGCAGCAACAAAAGGGAGGATTTTTTCTGCTATAGTCCAGCATCAGTGGAATAGCTTTTCCATGGTGGCATGCCTGGTGCCGACCCTACCTTGTAATCCTTCCAGTACCAGGTTAGGATGGCCCTTTCTGCTGAGGTTTTAAAAGATATACTTGGTTATTCAGGGCTTGAGGGATTACCCACTCTAGGTGGTTTTCTTTTATGGAATTATTCTTTGTTTTTAGCGTACAAAATACTGTATTCTTTCTTTTGATATGCTTTTGTGGCATTTTTACTGTATTGTATTGCATTGTTTTTATGTACTGTCGTAAACAGCTCAGAGAACTTTGGGTATTTGGTGGTACAGAAACAAGAATAATAAACATTTCTGCACCTTGGTAACATTATAATTTCTGCTTCGTTTAGCCAAGGGCTCTGAGCCAGAAGTATATTATGCCTAACCTGAGTGAAGAGGAGAAGGCCTCCGTGAAAAATGAGTTCTGTGAAGAGCTTTTCAAACTTGAAGAGGTAAGACTTAGTGATTCTAAATCTAGAGGTGGCAAGTTGTAGCCTTTTGATGCTGTTGGACTGTAGCTCTCACCAGATCTGGCCAGCACAGTCATAAGTGAGTGATGAAGAGAGTTGAAAAACATCTGGAGGGCCACAAGTAGCCCATGCCTGTCTCAGTCCTTCCAAGATGCATCATGAAACTTTGTCCTGGGCTACAAGCTTCCCTTTTTCCTAACTGCAAAACATCCCTTCAGTTCTTGATTAAATTTAGGTATATATTCAGCACCCCGTCCCCCATCCACCTGTTTAAAAGAGCAGAGTTAAAGCATTATGTTGGTTTAAACATCAAACTCCCCAAAACTGTGAAGCAGGAAATCAAAGCAGGTGTGTCCTGCAATCATTGATGTTGTGCTGTCTCATAAACTGTGGTTAAATTAGGTCATGGTGAACTGTTGTGCCATGTAAACCAGGTTATTCATACCATCTTTGCCTTACATGTGCATTTAAAGATATCAAAAAAGACCTTGAAGACAGTCCTGATACTTCAATTGGTTCAAAATAGAGCTGCCAGGCTGCTGATGGGGACTGGGCATTATGTTCACATGCCTCCAGTTCTCCGTCAGCTTCACTGGCTTCCCATTGAAGTCCGGGCCCAGTTCAAGGTGTTGGTTATGACCTATAAAGCCCTTAACGGCTTGGGTCCTGGTTACCTGAAGAAGCGCTTACGTCCATATATGCCCGTCCACCCCTTGAGATCAGCGGGAGAGGCCCTTCTCCGGGAACCCTCCGTGAAGGATATTAGGAGGGTAAGTACTCGGAGGAGGGCGTTCTCTGCGGTGGCGCCCAATCTATGGAATGCGCTCCCCAGAGAGGTCTGCCTGGTGCCGTCGTTGTTTTTTGGCGCCAGGCGAAGACCTTTTTATTTAAGCATTATTTTAATTGTTAATATTATTTATTTATTTTATTCTTTGGCCAGGTCAACTCAAATTATATTGTTTTTACATTGTGATTATTTATTTATTGTGAGCCGCCCCGAGGCTTCGGCGAATGGGGCGGAATAGAAGCTAAATAAATAAATAAATAAATAAATAAATGCAGTCTTAAAGACTCAAAAGACACCGTTACCTCAGGCCAAATTACCTTCTGTTACCTCAGGCCAAAGGCCCTAAATCTCCAGCCTAGCCAGATCCATTCACTGCCAGGTCTAGCTCTTGGGTGCCATCTTTCTTCGCCTCCTCTTGCTCTGCTGGCTACTTGGACAGTCCACCTGGGGCTTTACTCCCTGTGCAGTAAAATCCTTCTCCTGGTAAAATTCCAGGGCAGCTTCTGAACACAATGTAGCCATCACTTCCCTATTCCCAGTCTTCACCAACCATATGTTCCAGTCCCCCAGAGAAGAAACGGCTTAATATTGCAGGCTTTGCTATTCACTTTCTTTTCAGTTTTCTCCTAGTCTTTCTATAACACCACATGCCAAGCACTGACAATCTACCAAACAACTAACTTTATGTCAGCTATCATGTCCCCAACAGTAATCTTTCAAGCACACTGAAGTATAAATCAATAGGTATAACTTACACAGGTATAATCATGCAATCATTGGCACATAACCAGGCCTGAGAAAAACCCTCTTTTCCTGAAGTCAGCATATGTGCATCCTTTAAATGTAGCTGCGACTGAGCAGATACCAGTCCAGAGAAAGCTAGTTGGCACTTGACAGATAACAGCAGCTCAGACAAAGGGCAATTTTCAGCAGCCCACCCCATCCTCCTCTTCTGTGTACTAGCACCGCACCCTCCCTCTTCCTTCAGAGTATCTTCTGTGGTATGCAAATAGGAAAGATCATGCCTTGTAACTTTTTACTTCTGTAACTTACTGCAAAATGTTAACTGTGTTATGCGTAACCTTTGATGATCAATGTATAAAAGGGCCAACTGAGGACTGCTCAGGTGCACCATCTGGAACCATTCAGTGATAGCTGGTTGTTCTTGTGAATAAATCTTTTTTTAAAAAAACCACCTCCTGATGTGTATTTTGGGCACACCAGGACACGGACCATTTGGCCAACACCATTCTACCTAGCTAGAATCTCCAGCTAATAAATACAGAATTTATCTGATCTAGGCCCCATGTAACAACATTCAAATACACATCTCCCTTTCTTTCCCCATTCAGAATGTCCCTAACTGTCTGATACACAGCTCTTTGACAGCAATGAAGTCAGGCTTTAGGCTTGCTCAGTTATATTATTGCCTCTCAGAGACAACACAAAGTAAACATTACAGAACAACAGCAGTTATATGCTGGTATTTCTTCACAGCTTGCAATACGTAGAAATACAGGGGCAGAAAGAAGTGTGTCCGTGCTCACACATGCACACAAACACACGCACTGTCTCTCTCTAAAAGATCTATGCCGGCATTTCTTTTGAAGTATATAGTTTTCTAAAATTCCACACTAATTTTCTGTTCTTTGCTTTCCCCTAGCACCTATTAAACTTTTCAGTTGATATCTGATATCTGATATTTCAGTTGATATCTGATATCTCTAAGCAGATATCCCTGGCAATTATGTATTGGCAGTGGCCATTTTGATTCACCTAAAACGTCAGGAAACACATTGTGATAGGGAAAACAAAAAGGCCACCCCAGTGAAAACAAAGCCCAGAAAGGATGCAAGCTTTTCTTCTCCCCTGTTGACTCTCATGATCTGTTTAAAACAAACATTTTAAAAATCTGAAATGGAAAAAGGTATTTCACTAACCCTAATAAAGAACAAGAAATCATTGTTTCTTAGTTAAAATAAGAGCTTTTTTCACGAGTCTGGTAAAACCTCCATATCTCATGCTTCAGTTACAGTGGTTTCATTTAACTGTGGTTAATCACGGTCTGAAAAAATTAAATAGGGAATTTCAGGAATACAATAGAATCGTCCCTCCACATTTGCAGGGGTTAGGGGCACAAAAGAGAGAGAGGGAGAAATAATCCAGTATATGTATGGTCAACAGTATTAAGAGTTACGGTTTGGGTGAGGGATAGAAATATTTGCAGTTTTTCCACTTTTGCAGGGGGCCTGCAGCTCGAACCCCCACAAATGTTTTCTTTACATTTTCTAGTCTATGCACATCTGTTATTTTTTGCCATAGGCCTCAAAACTACAAAAAAATCCCATTTGATTACTGATAGCAAACTCACGAATAAGCAAATTCACAAAAGTTAAACCTGCAAAAGTTGGGCTTTGACTGTAAACATTCATAATTTATATTGTGCGCTGTTCTGTGTAATGATGAAATTTTGTGCAGTTCCACCCGGGATGCTGATCATCCCTTTGTCCAGCGTATCCACTCTGTATATGCTATCCAGCCATTAATTGCTCAGTGGCTTTCTCTGTTATCAGACTAACTCTTATGCTATTACAATACTTGTGTTTAAGTAAACTTTTATCATAGGTATGTATAGCAGTTACACTATATAGTGTTTGCTATTATCCATGGTTTCAGGCATCCACTGCAGGGTTGGAACCTATCCCCCATGGATACGGGAATCCAACTGTATAGGGCAAAGAAAGTTGCCAGTATAAATTCTCAAAGTGACTTTTGACAAATTGCTTTTTTTGTTTTTTTCTTTTTAAACTGCTCTTTTCCTCCTAACAGTATTCCATCAATCTGTATTAAACTTACAGTGTGTGTAAAATCCAAACTTGATTCCACCATCCATAAATTTCAGAAAGCCATTCTGATTTTATGAAGGTTAGACAGATATGCCCCATTACCACTTTGCATGGCAGAATGCTTTTTATACTGTCACGTTCCCTTCAGTATTTCGCCATTTTTCTACAGTTCTGAGCAAAGTCTGTTTAAGCTGTGTTAAGAACCATATTGCTTTGATAGCAATGTCTTATTCTTGTGGTTGTATATCATAAATCCTAATAGTTTGACCCTAAATGTGTCTTGCATAAGGTGCCCTGAAATATGTGAAAAAACCGCAAAATTACTACTGGAGTACTCGGAGAAAGTCCAGCAGATCCAGAATGAGGTTTCTTTGCTGTTATCCACTAGAGGGAGCCATCCTCACACTTGTATAGATTTGTCTCTGTCAGATAGGGGTTTGTGAGGAATTCAATTGGGGGAGAAAATCAGGCACATTTTTATGCTTCAGCCCTTTGGATTCAGATTTGTCAGCTTCACCCTGGCATCTTGCTGTGACCAAGACAGACCATGATTTGTTTATTTAAAAAATACATATCTAAGGAAGTCTGTGCAAATTGTGCTATGTAGTTTTTTGGCTTCTGAATTGTGCAAATTATGCAAAATGAGCAAATCCATCCAGGATGTTCACTCCAGAATAGTAATTGCGCAGTCACTTGCTTTTTACACAGTATTCTTATCATCCTTTCATCCGTTGTGGTGCTGTGTGTTTTGGCCATGCTGCTTTGAACTTTTTCTCAGCGTACTGGAAGTCTGAGGTTCCAGTGTGTGTTTTAAGGATGGAAGAGCAATACTGTCTCTGGAGTTGCAGATGTCCTTAGCAAGACCCTGTTCTCTTATGGAAGAAACATAGTTTTAACATTTCAGTGACTTCTTGAAAGACAGAGCTCCTACCTCTTTACTGCCTCATTGGGAGTGATCAGAAGGCCTTTCTTAATCAGGCCTCCACCCAGGTTTGATGTTCCTCCCATTTCAGTTTAGCCAAAAGAACTCTTTCACAATCCAGAGTTGTCTGGTTGATACCAAGAAAGAGGAACCCAGAAGAGTCTGATTAAAATCAACAATTCTTTTTCTATATGTTTCAGGAATTCAATTTTTAGCCATTTCACAGCCTCCCAGTGCCATAGGATTAAATGTCATCTGCTTCTTACTGCTCTTTCCCCTCTTGCTTAACTAGCCTCAAACAACCATGCAGCACTTCACATGGGGTGCTGCTTCCTCACTCCTTGGGCTGCCAAGAGGAGGAAAGCAGCTCTTTCCAGCAAGTGGTCCAAAAGCTGCCACTCCTTTCCTCGCTGCGCATTCTGTTTCTGAGGCACGGTCTGCCCAGCATACTCCACAGGCATCTAGAAACTAGCAGAGTCCCACTGCATGAACAGCCAGAACCTTCTCCTCTTCCTCCCCCTTGTAAATTTCACTTTTCATCTCTTGGCAGCAGGAGTCCATGGGCACGAATTAGTCTTCCGCTCTTTTACTAGATGTTTGCAAGGAGCACAGGAGCAGAAAGAAGAAAGACACTGACTACCTACTATATTCTGCCAATTGTAGAACATAGCCAGATGTACATGAAAGGCAAAGCACTATAACCCCAGGGTATGTGTGTGCGGCTGCAATTCTGCATGCAAAAGGAAGTGGACAAGGGACCAGTGAAGAGTGCTAAGAACTTTCTGGGTCCTTCTTTTCTAAAATCCAACTGTACAACTCACATTGGTCCCTGGAGTCCAATAAGGATCTGTACAGTACATGCAGTGCACAGTTCTGCAGTGTGGGATTAAGACTGTTGAAAGTAGACCAATTCCCTAGCAATATTCTGTCTGCTTTCTGCAAGCATTCAAGGTATATCTTTCATTTTTATTAATAAATGTCACATGTCTTTCCTTTTTAGATTCTGGCAAAGCAGAAGACCAAGTTTTTTGGCGGGAACTCTGTTTCCATGATTGACTATTTGATGTGGCCATGGTTTGAACGGATGGAGCTTTTTCAGCTAAATGAGTAAGCCTGCTGGATCTTCTGTACCTCTCACACATGAATGTCATTTTCCCTCTGCCTACATCTTCTGCCAGTCTCTTTGCCAATTCCTTGGGGTAACCAGTGAAATGGATGAGCTGTATGAACAGGGGAGATCTACCTCCACTTGTCCTACTTTATCTGTATTTTACAAGGTGGTGGGGTAGAGATGGGGAGTGGAAGGGAAGCAGAATTGTGTTCTTTAGTGTTCCTTGAACAGGCTACTTGTCTTCCTTCAAGGCAAAGGGATGGGTAGTAAGGAAAAGAGGGAAACACAAATACGAGGAGTTGTCCCTTTTCTTCTGAAATAGTATCTAATGGAAAATTCAGTTCTGTTCAACTCAGACTTGATAAAGACAATAGGTTTCTTTCCAGCACCAGATAATGCCTGCAGTGAGAGCTGGTGCAATGTAGTGGTTAAAGAAGTGTTGAACTGGGACTTCTTTTCCTCACTTAGCCATGAAGCCTGCCGGGTGACTTTGAGCCAGCCATGAACTTGCATCTGAACCTATCTCAAAGGGTTGTTGTGGGGTTAAAAGGGAGAGGAGAAGAATCTTGTAAGCTACATTGGGTTTGTTGCAAGAGGAAGAAAGACAAGATAATAAATGTTATAATAGTAATATGTTTGGATGATAAGTTACTTTCAGAAGCTGAGATGTAAACAAGTTTGGAAAAAAACATACTTTGTCTCCTCCCTTTGAGCAAACAAACCAGGAAATCTTTTCTCAGCTGTAGGTTTTTATTACTTCTAAACTGGGAAGCTAGGGTTAACCATTCTGGAGCAAGCAAGGTTCTTAAGCCACTTTTACACCATAGTTTATCTTATTACCTTCGCCTGTTTGAAGGCTCTTAATCCTGGCTTCCCAGTTTGGACAAAATAGGAAATGTTAGCAAATGGAAGGTGTCTGTTTATACTCGCTATAAAAGAGAAATGCAGGGGCTTGGCTGAAGTTTGTTCTTATCTCATCTTATTCAGTTGATGTATGATCATCCCAACTCTCCATTAAGTTAAGCATGGCAAGTTTATTTACATTGACTGCTTTTGTGGCTAGGTCATTCTTTTTTGTAATATATTCAATGCCTTTGAAAAGTACATTGAAATAGCAGAGCTATTATTACCACTTGAATTTCATAGCTTTTTGCCCCATGTTTTAGAAGAGTTTTATGCATCCATATGTGTAATATCTGGGAACTAGGGATAACTTTTCATGCAGCTGATGAATTGCGCTCTTGCCCAAAACAGCTATGCCACAGTAAATCTGTTAATCTTTAAAGAGCCACTGGAGATGTTTCTTTCCATCATAGCTAACAGAGTTACTGCTTCAGAAAGTATACAAAGAGTTTGCCATGTAACCTAAAATGGTGCACTGAACTTGATACTTGTGTGACTTGTGTGGAAGGATTTACAATTATAAGTTAAAACATTTGGCAAGGGTGAATAGTGTCAGACTGAGCTCTGAGATGTCTAGAGAGTAATTAGGGAAATATCAAATTTCCTTGACTATTCAGCTTTTATTCCAGCTCCCACACATCCTTGAATAGCACAGATTCAGGTTTTGGGAATTTCTATGAAAAAGTATAACTTACTGTCAGCCAAAAATAGTGCTGAAGATGACTAACAGTAATAAAACACGGTAATGTGTAATACAATTAAAAGACATGCATGCCAGTTTAAGAAGAAATGGGAAATACAGAGCACCTGACAGTTAAAACTAGTTCAGCAAAGAAAACAGCTTGTCTAAATAAACAAGTGACTGTTGGACAATAATTTCAACAGAAAATTTCAGGTTTTACTTCTTGTTCTTTGGCATAATGTTGGATCTGAACTAGTCCTTAAATTCAACTCATCTGCTAATACAGGACCAGCATCCAGTGCATATGCTCTGTTTTCTTTTCCTGGTCAAAACATGCTTGTGGATTAATAACTTGGCTTGCAACAAGCCAAGTTAAATTTGGTAGAGCAACTTTGCCAGGTGTTGTTATTTCTAGGCTGTGCATGGGCGCAGTACACACCACCCCGTTTGAGATTTGCAGTGCAAAATGCCGAAGGAGCTTTTGAGGGCCACTCGAACAATTAAGTCTGGTAGAGCAGCTCCGCCAACCTGGTGGCCTTCAGGCCTTTGGACCACACCTCCCAGGATTTCCATCCTCCAGGGCCATTGACTGGGAATTCTGGGTGTTGTAGTCCAAATGTTTCTGGAAGGTACAAGGTTGGGGAAAGCTGTGCTAGAGGGCAGTTCTTTCAGTTGTGCCCTTGACAATCAAACAGTCCCAAACTGAAGGCTTCTGATCGCCCAGTGCAGGATGGGAGGCGTAGCAGAGGTGATTCTCGCCTCCACGTCATCCTGCCCGTGTATTTTGCTAGAGGTCATGTTTCAGAAAGAAAGGCAAGCAGGTTGAAATGGGCTTGGGGTTACTTGTACCTTGGCCTCTCCAGTCTCCTTCCCTCCTGGTCACACCCACGAGGACACCTCCTTTTCCTCCTCTCTGAGGTCATTTTTCTAACCTCATTGTGCAGCCGGTGTGGTTTTTTCCTTGCCAGGTGCAAGTGAATGGCAGGTTGCACACCTTTTTCCTTCTGACTCGTGAGACCTAGGGATCACCAGGGTGTGTGCGGATGTGCAAGCAAGTGCTTGCTTCCAAGATGGCCACTGCACCACCACCGCTAGCCTCACAAAAACTAATACTGGAAGCCAAGGGACAAGCTTTTTCGCCCTTCTGGCAGGGGCAAAGTGAGTGGCCAAAAGTGCAGCTCTTTCCCAGCTCTTGAGATGACAGGATTTATATCTGGAAGCGTCTGCATGCAAGACGTGTTTTCTTGTACTATGTCCCTTTCCTGCTTTAAGAGAAATTAGCCACAGTGATAGGGATTTCATAGCTGGCTCAATACCTTTTCTGTTCCTTTACAGCTTTCCGGATCGCACTCCAGCACTAAAACGCTGGGTTGAAATCATGAAGCTGGATCCAGCAGTTCAGGCTACAATGATAGACCCTCAGACCTTCAAAGGCTTCCTTGAGCTGTACCTGAAGAATAGCCATGAGGCCTGTGACTACGGCCTCTGAGAGCTAGTGCAAACCTTTCCAATGGGTGGCAAAGTGTACAGGCGGAGGCACTGTTCCAGTTTGCACATTTGGTACCCGAGCTGCATTATTGCTGTTTTAGCATGGTTTAGTGTTTTTGTGGGCAATGAATTATGCTGCTGTGCTGAAATGAGAGACCACCTGCAAAAGGACCACCTGCTCTCAAAAGTAAGAAGCATAAAACTGGGGCAGGAAAAAAGGGTTTTAGGGTTTGCCAGTGAAATTTGCCAAACCGTGTAAGTTACAATGTTTCTCTTCCATCTCATCAACATAGGTTAAAGTCTGTTGGCTCAGTTGCTGTTTTGAAACTGGAATAAATACACTCAAAACAGACATTTCCTGTTTCCTGTTCTGTGCAGTGACAAGCAAATTCATACTGCTAGATGTCCGAGTGTGTTGGGCTAAACGGAGTGCTTCTGAACAAGTGAGGCATGTCCCCTTGAAGGATGTCGTATCTTTGCCTTTTAAAAAAATGGGAAACCTAAAAGTAGGGAGGTAACGGTACGGAATGCATATTCTTTCTGCTTTAGGAACATAGGAAGTTGTCTGGTACTGAGCTTATTATCGGACCTTATTATCGGTAGCTCAGCATTGTCCTACTGATTTGTAATGGCTCTCCAAGGATCCAGATGGGGATTTTCCCCAGCCATGCCAGGAGATTCCATGAATTAATTTTGCATACAAAGCATGTGTTCTATCAGTAGGCCACAGCCCTTCCACTTTACATTCCTTTACTCAGACCGCTGGGCCAAATGGTACATTTTGGCTGTCTGGCAAGCCTCAGAAATAGCAACATTTTTTTTAAGGGAAAGTGGGCTTTAGAGTGGGAGCTTTGTATATCGCACAGGGCAAGAAGTACGCTCTGTAGTCCCATGGGTTCCATTGTTTCCATGCTTAAACTTCCTTGGGGCCCACCAAGGTGAGCACCTCTTAAATATATTAAACACATTTCTTACATATATTTAACATTTTCTTACTGGCAGCTGAGATTGCTGTGAAATAGCTTTCTGTTGGTGCTAAAAACTGAGTTCAGAGGAGATCTTTAAGTGTGCAGGTGTCCAGACTCCACCTGCTCTTTGTTCCATCATTTGGACAGGTAACTCACCTTTACCACAGCTCTCATGGCAGCCATTTTGTGGTGGTGCCCAAGACAGCTTCTTAAATTTCCTGATGGTCCATAAAGGCTGCCTACCCCTGGCATGTTATTACTGGAACACGATTCCCCCTCAATATCTTTTGATCTGGTAGAGGAACTGTTCGTGGATATTTTCTCCAAAAGTTGTACATTACACTGAACCCCAATTACTTACCACTCTACATGTTGAATGTTATGCTAGAATACTTAAGCTTAACGAAGCTGAAACCAGCCAACGGAACTGATCTGCAAGCATACCAATTAGATTTTATTTTAGTTGTCATTGGAGAGCAGTGTGTGTTTCTCAAGATTTTTATTGGGAGAAGTATCAGAGGCTTCTGCACAGAAAAACAATATCCCTGGATCAAGCCACTCCATTTTGGCGTCCCATGCATCAGTGTTGTACAGAGGAAATACTGCTTGTGAGCAGTTTTCAGTGTGTTTCTAGAACAGTTTGCTAGCTTCCCATCACATATGCTGCTGTGACAGAAATAGATGGAATATACCACCCTGTAATTTACCAGTTAGTTGTTGGCTAGTCTCCTTTATTGTTCCAATGAGTATGAAATGGCTACGTAGAAAGGAAAATAATATGAGGCTTGATTAGGGGCTGTAGCTCAGTGGAAGAGCACATAGTTCTGTCCTTGGCATCCCAGTCCCATGCTGTGCTGAAAAATTCAGTGACTGCTATTGGTGTCAGCCACAGTAAGCTAGCTGAAGCAAGGGTCTGACTCTGTAGAAGGCAGCTTCCTAGGTTCCTCTGCAGTAATAAGGAAGCTTCCCGATACTCAAGCCAGTCCTGCTATGCCTCCAAGTTGTCCCATTTGCTACCCCATCGTGGGTAACATAGTCACTATGGTGGAAAGCTGCACTATTATCCAGGAGCAATTTTTCTCATTGGCAGAGCGGAAAGGTTGCAGCCTCCAGTGGCCCTTTGGTCAGCTTCTCAGTAGCCACTGGATTGTTCCTTCAGTGGTGGTCTTTGCTGCAGTACATGTATTATACAGACAATGTAGAAAGAAATATTTGGAATTCATTGTCCACCTTGATTACTTGCTGGATCGCACTTGTGTGTTTTAATAAATGCAGCTTGGCCTCGGAACAGTGGGATGTACTTTTGAGTATACATGCATAGGCCAGTGCTATTAACATCTCACTGCCTGATCATACATTCAAATGTTAGAGTGTTTTTGAAATATTTGTAGAATACCAAAGCTACTGTTTAATAAAATATCTCATGGGTGCTTGATGATGCCCTTGATGGAGATTGCAACTTCTCTGAAAACGCTATTTGAAAATCCACAACTTCAAAGGGGTTTTTTAAATATGCCATAAACATTTGGATTTGTTTCTCCTCTGAGAGACTTGTTTTGAGACTGTAACAAAACTAGAAATAGTGCTGACTAGGAAAGAAGATAGGTATTTTCCACTTCAACCATGTAATTACTTAAATAAAATAACTGAAGTTGCAATGGGTTGTTTAATAGGCCTATTAACTGGAGCCAGTATTTTACAAGGAGTCAATTATATGGCATGTTAATAAGAATGGAAGAAACATTAAAACTTTGAGTGCAGTGCAGAAGTTGCCTGCAAAAAGAATGCTTCTCTGGAGGAAGGTATTCCAGTGAGATGTCTGACACCTCTTTTTATAGCCTCTTAGGATTTCTAGTCATTTGTGCAAAACCAATTTTCCACAGCCTTGGTCTTTAAAAAAAAAAAAAAATGGCAGAGGACGGTTTTAACTGTTTTTTCCATCTTCACCTTAAGGTTCTTATATTATAGAAACAGTTTTCTTCAGTCATTCACAGTGTGGGCCAAGAGGAAGTACATCTGATTTGATATTTTAGCACTACTTTCTGCTGGAGACAGGACTTGCTCAGCTTTCACACACGCTAAGTTTTGCTAGATAACACAGAGGCATTTATGTTTTACAGAGTGAACAAATAGCTATAGCTATTTATAGTGCAGCTAATGGGCAAGAGATATGTGGGCAAGCTGGTTCGAATTTAACTTTACTAAATGGGTTTAGAATTCTTTAGTGTATTTTTCTTTGCATTCTGTTTGACTTGCTTTGCATACATGAAATGACTGAGTTCTAGATATCTGTATTTTGGATACAGGTACAGTTCCTTTAAACACTTACTACATTTAAGAACATAGGCAGAATCCTGCTGGATCAGCAATTATCCAAATTGGTGGTTATCATTACATGTTATGGTAGCAAATTCCATAATTTAACCATGCTGTGTGAAGCACTTCTTTAATGTGTCCAGAATCTCCCACAATTTAGCTTCATGAGAAGTCCCTGGATTCTAGTATTACGACAGAGTTAGGCATGGTACATGGAAAGTAGATAGTGGATAGACATTAAAACTTCCCTATCTGTAAACAGTGCATAGTTTTTTATACATTGTTATATTCCATCTTGAGAACTACAAGAGACCATGAGGTATATAGGGGTTGTTTAACCCTCATAGAACCCACTGTGGCCAGATTCAGAGGGCAGAACAATCCCCAGTTAGGAAGTGAATGTACAGAATGTCAGGAAGCACACACCAGGGTTTAAAGCAACTCATGGTGGGCTGTTTGAGTCTGAACTGTGTCACTGTCAGCTCGGTTAAGAAAAACTGTTTACTACTGAGATTTGCCCCCGACACCCACAAAAAATAAACCACAGTTTGTTCAGTGCATCATAAACACAGCTGCCTGGCACCAGGATATTGAATGGCTTGGGTTTTTTAATATATAAATACATAAAAAGAATTCTCAGAAATATTTTGCCATGTAAGTCTGATGCCAAAGATTTCTTTTTGCCCCAGCTAGTTTTATAAAAGAAGCATTAGCATACAACATTATTGGAATGAACCCTGAAAAAAAAAATATTTTGCTGGTGTCAGTCTTGACTGAAGTAGCTTTTGATGAGGTATAGAAAGGATATGTTCAAGACCTTGCTATACTGTGCATCATTGTATAGCTTTTGGAATGATTTCTATATAGTCCTGGCCATGAATGTATTTCACTGGTCACAAACCAGTTCTAAATCCATGTAAGCAGTTTGCCTATTTAAGCTGCAGTCATAAACCCACTGAGTAAACTGCACTGAACTCAATGAGAATTCTGAACAGACACGTACAGGATTGTCTTGTTAAACAAGTGCAGGAACTGAAATGACATTCTTTTTTCAATCTATTACAGTAGCTAAGGATGATGTAAAATTCACTGAGGGGAAATTCTTTAACTACTCTTCAAAATACAGCCCTAAACAGCCCCATTGCTTGTTTTCAAACTGTATTTCTTCCATTAGAACTACTTGCCCTTGTAAATGAGGAACTTCTGCAAAATTATGATGTGCAACTTAAACCAAAAAAGTTACTACAGATTCTACCAAGTTCCAAGAACTGTAATGTTCACATAGGAATAAATTAGCTGTCTTTCCCTTGTTTATATTATTTACAACAAAAAAATCATTCAGTGGCTAGAAACATTAAAAAGCTGCATAAATATCAGCCAATAACATTGGAAAGAAAATGAGAAAAATATCTCCATTCTGCCAATCTTAAGATGCCCATTTGTAGAATCCAGAGCATATATCAAATTTCTTCCACAGGGAATTCTTTTCATGCCCTAATTCTGAAAGAGATGGCTACAGCGGTTCCTTATTTGGTGGGGTTGCCCGCCCATTGGGAACATGCGTGGTATACTCATTTATTAAAGCTGATGTGTTCTTTAGCATCTCATGAAACATGTCCATAGTTTTTCTGTAGGCACTTCGTTGGAGTACAAAGGGACGGAAGAGGTTCAGGGGTTCCACCTTTTGGAACTCCACAGGGATGCCCAGTTCCTCCGGCAGGTTCCTGTTTCCAATGAAAAAGTGGTAAAGCCTCTTTTCTTGCAGGCTTTTCTCCAAAAATTTGAGCATGTCTTGCAGCCTGGCCTCCAGGTATCCTGAAGCCCAGTCTGCACTGGGATGAGATTGCAGCATATGCAGCATCACAGTTTTCAAGTGATAGTTTGTCAGGTTACTTGTACCTGTTAGACTGCACTGTTTTCCATGAAGGAAGGACAGAATCTGGAGGCAGCTGAGGTGGCAGGCGTTAGCTGGCAGAATTTTGGAAATAAACTGGATGTATCTTTTCTCATATACTGCAAATGTAAGAAACCAGTGAATGCTGCTTGTGGAGCCTTCTGACAAGCTACTGTAAGGAAAATGGGAGATAAAATATACATCAGAATCAGCATATTGTACCACAGGAGTGAGGTTGAAGGCAATGGTCTTTCCAGACCTGAACTTGATTTTTAGGGCACCAGGAGCATCCAGGAGGTTAAAAGTGAGGTTGAACTCATACTTGTGTGAAATCTTGTTCCATGCCTTGGTAAGTGCAACCTGAAACCATGTCATAACCTGGTCAGAATCAAGGTATTGAGTGTCTTTATAGCAAAGAAGATCTTCTACCTGGTGGTTCTGCCTTGCTTGGCTCATTCTGCTGTGAAGGAGACACAGCAGGTCTTCCCCTAGCTTAGTCTTGTCACAGATACAGCCAGTTGAGTTCTCGTCTGTCCAGCTGACCTTTATCATACCATAACCTTGTTTATCTGGTTGGACAGAGTCCCCTGAACACCAGGTCTCAAAATGGAAACAATAAGGTTCTGGAGGAGTAAAAGGGACAATGAAGTCACATGTTAAGGGCTTGTGAGCTCTCCAGTTTTCATACATACTTCCAACTCCTATGGATTCTTCCACTTCCATGTCTGCATCCCGGTTGCACACACTCCTCAAGGCTTCCAGTAAGTCATCTGCAAATCCTTCTACAAGCTCACGATTCCTGGCAATATCACTGGTCATGGTCTGGAGACATCTTTCATAGAAATGGGCCAATGTGACCTTGTCTGGCAGGACGACTCCCTTGAATGCTTTTCCCAGAATGGAAATGTCATCTTCCTCATTGACATAATCTGGCCAGTTCCCTTCCTGGTAGTCTTGCCTCCAGAACTCAATCAGAAGGAAGACCACCATGGACAATGCAGTCCAGAAATTCCAAGAGAGGGGATCATGGCTGTATTGCTTTTCTGGTTCTGTGGCCTTTTCTGGAGACTTTGTTGATGTTTCCTGCATCTCAATCTCCTGCTCCAGTTTAAGCTGCTCTAGCCTCAGAATCTCCTCTCGTTCCTTCATCTTCTGGATGACTTCCTGTGTGTTCTCAATGACAGTGACATTTTCCTTTGGGAAGAGGAATGGATGGTTGACAATAGCTGTGATAACCACCAAGCACACTCGGAAGATTCCCGCTGGCATGGCAAAACCTTTCCTGTAAGGAGTAGGCAGAGAAACATGGTCAGCTTTGTTGACAGCTGCAAATCAACATTAGATAATTGATTGCATTCATAGCTCTGGGGAACAGGCGCACAAATCCTTTCTAATTCCAGAAATGTTCAGATCCCATCCGCATAATGAATAGTATAGGATGTTGGGAAGTTCTTTTCTCAACATGTAGCATGATGTTGCAATGATTGCACAGATCCCAGGAAGGGGTCTATCTAAAGTATTCCATTTTTAGGAAAGATTATTCTTGTATGCCACATCACTGCTGTAAGCATGGAGCCCAACAGAAGGGAAATCTGAGGACTTGACTGTATGGCAGGTAGAGCTATGTAGCAAAACCCTGCAGCCCACTCCAAATATATCTTGCATGGATGTTGGAACCAAACACCACTAGCATTTTCATCCTGACAACCTCCATTTAAAATTTCTATAAGGATATGAATAAATGCTGCTCCTGTAGATGCCAAAACCCGGATTCACCTCTAGTCTGTAATCTAATGGGATTAAAGATAAACCCCTATATAATTTTAAAAAGAGGGTTTAACCTTGACTTGATCCTTTGGATGTGCAATGATATATTAGGGCCAACACCTTAAATCTTTTCAAGGGGATGCATCTTTTTTTGTTTTACTCCAGAATAGTTATGGAAATTCCAGCCCAGGTCTTAAAATCCCCCTGCACATAGTCTATGGTGAAATGAAAAGACACAGGTTACTGAAGAATATTAAAGCAGGAATGGGCAACAAATGACATTACACATGTAAGCTAAAATAACTCCTATTGACCCTAGTCAACAATGACAGTGATGATAGGAGCTGTTGGTCAAAACACCTGGAGGATTAAGTTGCCCACCCCTGATTTAAAATGTCTGTTTTGGCCCATCATCATTTTTACTCTGCAGGTTGATCTCCTGTCTGGGTACCATTATGGGACTAACAGCCTATTCACCTCTCAAAATGAGGGTGAGACATTTTCTTCCTATCAAGAAAATGCAGTGGGGGAAGCCAGAAACAAACAAAAGTGTTAAATATGGGAACACACACAATTTTTAAAATATTAAATAAAAATGGAGTATCTGTGAAGGCATTTAAGATTGTCATATCTATGGCATCCAGCAATATAAACATTTCTAAAAATAAAGAAAAAAGGGAAATCAAGTTGATCTTTTTCTATTGTGCATTTTTATTCATTATCACCCTGAGAGTCTGGTTTTATTGCTATCCTTTGTGTTAAAGAATGAACTACATATTTGGAAATGCTTCTTAGCAAAGATTGAGCCATATATTAATACATCATATGTTTGTTTAGTTTATTACATGTATATTCCACCTTTTTCCTGCAAGGAAACCAAAGAGGCCTGCATAATCCTTGTCCTGTCCATTTTATCTTCACAGCAGTCATGTGAGGTAGATTGGGCCGAGGGTCAGTGACCAGCCCAAAGTCACCTGGTGAACTTCATGGCTGAGTGGGACCTTGAACCCAGACCTCCTGAGTCCCAGTGCAACATCAAGCTCCATGCCACACTGATTCATGCCTATGATTTCAGCCTTTAAAAGCCAACCACTAGAATGGAAAGGCTGAGAACTGCAGATTGAAGTCCGCCAACTCCAACAAGGCAGTTTGCTTTTACAAGAAATATGTAATATTTTCTCCATTAGAGATGCTGACCCTGAGAAGATGCCACCCCCTTCAGTACCATGGTGTAATTTTCTGCCCTGGTGGAAGACTGACACCATCAATCTGCCCAAAATCAAGCGGGGTCCTCCTCCTCACCCAAGTCAAGGCAGAGGACAAAGTGGCCAGTCAGGTCCCCCACCTGCAGATGTAGAGGGCAAGGTTGTCCACTGTCTACCTTTTCCCTATCAGAGAATTGGAGATGGGAAGAAAGGCAGGGCAGGTTGTATGTCATTGAACCAAGACAAAGCCAGGTTGTTGAGATTCTTGTATATCTCTGCAAAGGGCACAAGGAACCTGTGACACAGGAATTTCCTGCTCCAGTTTTTCACTATAGCAAAATGAAGTGCTTTCAAGAAACTCCTGTAAGAGCAAGCGTATAAAGCAGTGTGGGACAACCCTTGACCACTCTTACACTTTCCCTGAGGATGGCCATGGGACCAGGTTGGCCTGTGGCACGTGATGATGCGCTGGACTGCATAAGCCCCTGCAATGAGGGCTCCATGAAGCTGTGCTCCATACAACTGTGTATTAACACACTATGTTCTGGTGATTGGAGCACACAGACACATCACACAGGGCTGCTTTACAAGTACAAAGCACATGGGAGATACAGCACAGACTATCCGTGTTGAAGCTTCCATGCAACTTGGGGATGTAACTATTGCTCCATGGCCATGGGAAAAACAAACCTGAATGCTGTTCTCTTTTGTCCAGAAGACTGGTGCAAGCAACCAGATAAGAAACCCCTCGGTATGAAGCTGCTGGTGGATCGGGACAGCGGGAGGCCTGCTTTGACAGGGATCCCAGTGCCAAGGCATATTTAGCCTGTCGGCTAATCCCGTCCTGCCTTCTCATGCAGGAGAGCTGCTTTAATATGCATCGCTCTGCCTCTTGCGGGTCTAAGTCATGCAGTGTGTCTTCTATTACCTTCCAATTTCCACCTCTCCCTGCCCTCAGCCTGGCAGTTAGTTTCCATGGCAACCAGAGGGGGGATGATAATAAAGGGCATAATATACAGATGTGTACCTTGGCTGAGAAAGTCACTGCTTCCCAACTAAAAGCTACTGCTAGAGCACCACTTTAAAATTCCTCATATATTCCCACTATAAATGGGTCCTGCTCATTAACAAGGGAAAGGATCAGGCATAAGAAGCTGCCTTAAACTAAGCCAGACCTAGTATCTAAGCCATTTCCTTCCCTGTTGTGACAGCATCTCTCTGATATTTTAGGCAGGACATCTTCCCATAGTCTTCCACCTCATTGTTAAACTAGAAATGTCAGGGACTAAACTCGGGATCTTTTGTGTGAGAAGTGTGCACTCCGCTACTGATTTCTGGATCCGCTGCTATGAAATTGTTTGCTCCAGTTGTACTGAATTTTCTGCCTAAAATATATTAGTGGTGAAATAATATCCATATGTTCTTGGGCTCACATCCTCTTTTGATCTTTAAAAATAACACAACCCCCCTCTTCTCAATTAACTTCCTGCATCTTCCTTTAACAGTGTCTTGAGGAAATTTAACACACTGCATTCAACGATATACACAGTGTTGGCTGTTCATGCTGCAAGTTCTTTTTGCTTTTATACTCAGCAGGGTTTACAGCCTGATTCACCACAAACGTGTGCTAATCACTCTATTACTGCAGGATCCAGCAGTGGTTTTCATGTTTGAAAATTGATCCTCAGAAATCTAGCTGAAAGAATGTTTTTCATGGAGTCAAGTGAACAGTAATGGAATGCAAACATATCAAGTGGCATGCATAAACATATTTGTGAACCAGGACAAATACTAGTCTTGGGGAAATGCCACCAGATGTTGGTCATTTTACATGACACATCACTTACCCAACTGGGAAACCCACATATCAAGTGTAGGTGCTTAAAAATGCAGTCAAAACCATGCTGTGCTGCAAACACACAAACTCTGCTGGAAGGATTATAAAATGTCACTTGTGTACAAGAGCCTCTGTGACACAGGAATGCAGCCAGGTTGTGAGAAGGTGGCCAGTCGTGGCTGGAGGCCATGTAGGGACTAGATAAATCTACTTCTGCAGACTGAAGCGGGAAGCAAAACCAGATTGACTGGTTCCAAGATTGTTGAACTACATTCTGACTTGTGAATCATATGTTGCAGAGGCCCAGTGTACAGCATGCTGCCTGAGTGTTATAAGTAAAACAACTGATTCTGTCTCCCCCTGCCCCAAACCTTACAACCTGCACTTTGAAATTAAGAAAGGGGGAGTATGGAGAGGAGGGAAGGGAAATATCATCAGATGCCAGTAGATATGCATTGTTGCACTGACGGTTGGGAGGAATTAGGGAGTTACGACAAAGGATGTGTGGAGGGTTTTGAATGAAAGGAGCACAAGATATTCTGGAGTCTGAAGTATAAGGGAAAGCCAGAGGCAGTGGTTTGAAAAAGCAGGGGACCTTTGTGGGGCAGAACTGAAAAGAGAAAATGTGACAAGTTAAAGCATCACAGCAACTAAAGACTGAAATGTTGAGTGGGAAAAGCTAGTGGAAGGCTTTCAAAACAAGGCTTGTGCAAGGCAGTGGGAAACTAGTGCATGGATTTAAGAGTGTCAAGGACTGAACGAAGAGAGAAGTGAATTATTTAGAAGCAAATGGAACCAGTGCTAGGCCAAGATCTTTTGTTGCCTCGAGCAGAGTCCAGATCAATCCACTGTCTGCTGACACCAGCACTTTAAACCTTATTGCAGTGTTGTGCCACCCAAATCAGATTACCGGATAGCAGGTCTAGTCCTGCACAGAACATTAGTTTCAAGAGTAGCAGGGTGGTAGAGGGTATGCATGTTTGTTATTTTCAGTTAGAAAGCATTCAGATGGATTTAAATATCATATCTTAACACCAACAAAAAAGGAGATACATAGTTTCTGTCCAGTCCAACAGAGGTTGTTTAAAAATAAGCCAGAAGTCACCCGCAGGTCAGTTCACAAGAAAACTTCAGGAAGTGCCATGGTTTCCTTTTCTTAGCTCTTTTTTAAATTTAATTATAGAACAGTGTGTATGTTTTGAGATTCAAATATAGCATGGCTGGATGCCAACAATGGGCCTCTTGTCCTGAAATGCCAACTAGAAGCACCTCTGACATGGAAAAGAACAGAAGAGGCAGTTGACAGCAAGCAAAGAACAGGTTGCAATTTAGTTACTTGCATATTAAGGGAGCCATTGTGGTGTAAAGGTTGGAGTGTTAGGCTGGGGCTTGGGAGATCCTAGTTCTAGTCCCACTTAGCCATGAAACCCACTGAGTGACTTTGGCCCAATCACCAACTCTCGGCATAACTTA